TCTCTCTCTCTCTCTCTCTCTCTCTCTCTCTCTCTCTCTCTCTCTCTTATTCCATTCCATTGAGGCAAATTTGTGATATTCCGCTAAATAAATAAAATTGACTTGACCTGTCAGTACCAAGAGCAGCAGCAGAGGTGTTTTAATTACTTCAGAAACAACTGATATTTATCACAAAAATGTATGATGACAAAAACTCCAAATGTTCAATAATGTTTTGTAAAATTGGAAGCATCTGCTGGAGTACCTGAAGGAGCATATCTCCAGGTTCTATTCTCCCATCAGCAGCCACTGCGCCTCCTTTCATTATGGAGCCGATGTAGATGCCGCCGTCTCCTCGGTCATTACTTTGACCAACAATACTGATACCTAGAAAGTTGTATTTCTCTGTCAGGGAGAAAGCAGGGAGCACACAGTATTAGCTCTGAAAAACGCTATTATAGCCGTGTGTGCACATTAAAACTAATATATCTATATTCACATATATGTAAATAAAATGAAATCATAGTTATGGAAGTGTCAGGTTTACCCATGTTGAGCGTGACGGTGATGATGTTGAGGCTCATGGTGGAGTCTGTGATACTGCTGAAGGATGAAGACTGGAAAGGCAGTAAAGAGGACAAGCACATCAGAAAGAGTCAACGTGGCATAACGTTTATATCAATCAGCCCTCTCATCTGTTTCTTATACGTCATGTCAATTTAAATTCCACCAGGAACAGTGATGTGTCTTTGAGGGGCTCACCCGGTCTATTTTGGCCACTTTGTGCCTCCGTCGGCGGCGCTTGTGTCTGCGCATCAGCTGTGAAGAAGAACTCTGTTCTGTGGAGCTACTGAGCCTGAAACACAGAAGAAGAGCGGTGATATGGAGAGGAAGAAAGAGGTACAAAGTAAGTAGTGGTGAGTACATCAACTATGGGTACTGTACAGAAAACACACGTTAAAAGAAAATAGTACTTTACATAGCAAAACAAATCAATTGTCACTTAAGCTATATGTTGCATATACACAACATCTGTAAGTTTCTTTATGTTGCCTTTTATATATATATATATATATATATATATATATATATATATATAATATACACATTATACACTGTATATATACATATATTGTATTTTAAGGTGTTTCTCTTTTTTGTGGTTTCATGAACTACTTTTTATGAACAATAGATATTCGGTTTCAGAAACAAACAAAAGCTACTGATCTGTGCGTCTGGATAGAGCAGAGAGATGTTTTGATGTGAAGTACTTTGTTACCTGCTAGCATCCTCGTCTTCCTCACTGTCAACGAATGAGCTGGACTCCAACTCGCTGCTCATTACTGAGGCGCTGTCGTAACCCATGGCCGAGTCCCTTGCGGTGCGCTCTGATTTCGAGTGACCGTTGATGCGAGGGACTGGAGAGGGAAAGAGCAGAGCAGCAGTGAGTCAGACTGGAGGTCACGCTAATCATCGCACGGTCAGATCAGAACGAAAGGGGAGAGACCAGGAGGGGAGGAAAGACAGTGTTAGTAAGAGTGGTAGAATTGGAAAAAAATATCATAGTTATCTGAACAACAGTGACGGAAACAGCTTTCATCTTTGATACCTATGGAAGATTTCAGCATTATTGAAAAGAACTGAAAAGCAGAACTTGGATTTCAGACCTTTCAGTAGAGCACAGGAGAGTGAATGGAATAAAGCATCAACAATTACTTTGGCTTTAGTACAATATTGAAAAAAGGTAGAAATAATCATACAAAGTTAAAACATTAATACAGCTACTTGAGATATATTCTTAATACGGTGCTTTACTGAACTCTAAAAATGACCAGGAGTGTACTTTACCACCCCGTCCATCTCCATACGTACATTGCCAGTGAGTCGGTGCTGTCTCAGGGTGACAGCGGATTGGCCGGAAAGGTCTCATAAAGCGAAGAGGGCGTGGCAGCCAACGTGTTCGCCGAGAGCAAGCAAAACATTCCAGCAATGTGGTAGTTCCCATCGCTACCTCCGCCCAGAGGGTGCTTTTCTATGAAAGCCGAGCTACTGCACATAAGCACTCAATCAGCAGAGACATGACATCCACTGTCAGGATCACAAAACCATATTTCCTCCCACGCTCAGATGACTGCCACACCAGAGAAAACAAAAAAACAAGACAAGAGTGCAGGTTCACCAAGCTAGACTGAAATCTGTGTCTGTGTGCTCTGCTCCGTCTGCGCTAGCCGCTCTCTAAACCTCAGCCTGAGCTCCAGACGGTCTTTACCCACCAGCTGGCTGCTGATGGGATTCACAGTGTATCTACAACAGAGGCAGTAACTAATAGGGAATAAGCATGAAGGTACTCTGTGAAGAGCGGCAAGTCAGAAAACAAGAAGTGAGTGAGTCACTTTCTGACTGTCCATGTGTGATCATGACCTTTTTAAAGGTTGTGACATTTCAAAGGACAAGATGGTTGTAAAAAAAATCATATATAGTTTCATTTAAATTCATTATGATCCCTAAATCAATAAATAATGCACACGATAAAGTCATTGTGTGACAATTTGGTGGGTTAACAGTAACGGTATAAAAGTTCAAAACAGGTAACAATAAACTTCTACTGCAAAACTCGAGCACTTTTCCCATTACATTTTCAGAAAAAAATGCATTAAACTAACCACAAAATGAAATCACATGTATAATATAACATATTCAAATATCAAATATCGTCATCAGGCGTAACACAACAAGTCCCTCTCACCACAGCCGACAGTGTGCCTTCATCCGACGCACAGAGAAAGTGAGCGGAGAGTCAAAAGAAAGTAGTGCCTCCTCCTACCCTCCCACGGCACGCAACTATAGAATGACTGCTAATCTGTCTCTGACCAATCAGATGATGGTATTCTCCAAAACAGAGATAACATGGGATTTGAGACGATGTGCTTTCAAGCCTCAGGTGAAAACACCTTCAGGTTATTATAAGCCCATATGCTTTATTAAGCAGCATCTCATCACAAAACATCATTTTAAGAAACCTTTCATAACGCAGGACTGTTTCACCAGTTGTCTTTGTGCTTTTAATACATTGATACAAGCATAAGTGCTTTGGCTAAGCCATGTCTTCTTTGACCTCAACTCTGAAATCCCAGCGTTATGAACAGCATTATACTTAATGAAATGCTGATGCTTTTCAGGGTATTAAATGTTCTCTGCTACAATGTCATAACTCAACATTAGAGTCATGTCTTACAACAGGTGAAGATGCAGAGCACCCGGCGGCGTTGAAACAGATCATATTCCATAACTTCATCCAACACCTGTTCACCCTACTAAAATGTTCAACTGCTGCATTATTCATCCATACATTGTCAAACACCACAGCACAGACAGAGAATAAGAAGGGATATGTTTACCAGGGCTGCATACTTTCACCAATCACTGTCAAACAGCTAGCATTCACACTGAGACAAAATCACTTGAAGCGTGTGTGTATAAGGTGACAGGGGAATTCCTGCTGCTGCTGCAGGCTGCGAAGTAAAGAGGTGGGGCAACCGGCTCCTCCTGTACAAACCAAGCCATGTGACTAAGACAGCAACCGGGCTAACACGCCCAAAAAAACAAAGTTCATTATATGGGTTCTTGCTTGCTAGATTTTTTTTAGGTCAGTCAACACAGGGGATTGAGGACAGATGCAAAGTTCATTAGGCTTGAAGTATTTCCACATCAGCCAGAAAACAACAGCTGTTCAGTTGGAAGTTAGCAGCAGTGGATCTGACATGGAAAGCACCAACAATATGTCTCCACTCAAGTCAAACCCCGTCACAAGACACGCAAGAGTGACAGAAACAATGGATACGATTGTTTAAAAAAAAAGTTAAATCTGTTTCCAGAATGCAAGACAGTTACAGCTTTTGCTAGGACCTCAACCTGATGCTGTACGCTGTGTAACTAATAGCATAATGAGTGCAGGACGCAAAGAGAGAGAATTGCTGTGAAGTGAGGACAAGGGGAAGATAGACGGAGCAAACAACAGCAAACCGTGAGCATCAGACGCCGCTGAAATATCACTTCCTGCCATGAATAACAACTAATTCTGCCAAAATATGTGTATGGCAAGAACTGGAACAGACCGAAGCAGACACCTCAAAATATTGCAGATAGTACAATTATGCAGATGGCAGAACACACCTCATCCTGCTGCACCAGTACACTCTACCTACCTTGTCTCTGTTGTGGACAGTGCGGGCTTGTGATGTTCCCTGGTTCTCATGTTAAAAACATTGAGTCTGTTTGTTTAATGGAGCAGAAAGAAAGCTGTCCTCTTAAAATAAGTGATTTTAATAGAAATTGCTAACTTTCCTGTGATATTTCACAAAAGACTAGTGTCTTCTGACGGGGTATAATCATTGTAAAAGACTGGAGTGTGAGTACCGAGTGGAAAACAGCCTCCGACCAAAGACAATCATTGGGAAAGACAGTTTTGACATACAGTGAACTTATTCACCCCATACTTTCTTCACTCCTCCGAGAATTTGGATATTCTTTCTTGGTTTCTTGTTCTCATATAGCAAGTTCAACACACACCATGTCATCCCCTAGGGCCTCTTTTCATACATGTCTGCTGTCTGTCAAATCTTTTTTGTTTTTAAAGGGAGTTAAGTGAGAGGCATTGAATTGCAAAAACTACAAAATGACAAGATAATTGCATTTTTAGGATCTGTTCCTGGCTGATAATACTCACGCTCAGTTTCTCTCGCTCTCCTCCGTGCCCGCTCTCTCTCTCGCTCTCTGCGGTGGCTCAGGAGAGACTCGGTTCCCGTCTCGGTGTCCAGGCCATCACGACTGCTCACCGCATTGGCACTGCAATACACACATCGGAAAACTTCAGTCAGATTCATAATGATGTACTAAACACGCACACACTCCCTCTGTCTCCCTCACAGAAAGTCTTTCAAATGAATTCTCTAGGCAGCCTGCGACCAACACTCCTGAACATAATCCCCAGCTACAATATACTTCTGTCTGTTATAATATCTGTTTGCCTGCCAGTCAGACTTAGGGGAATATGCAACTCATATTATCACTCTGTTTCAAATTCAATCCCTCAGGCCAAAATAGCAGTTTCATTGTTCTGCGGTATGTGATGTGTTTTTTACTAAGTGTCATTAATGACCAGATACCCTGAGAGGGAGCTATTCTAGACAATGCTGGCATTAATGAGACCTATTGAAAGCCCAGATGGTGCCTGGAGCATGATCGGGAGAGAGCCAGAGAGAGGAGAATGACGGATTGCATTAAAAAAAGCGAGAAGTAGTAGATCAGGTGTGGGCTGAGCAATCAGCTGGCCTGTGTACTTGGGGTCTGGGAGGAGTCTGGGAGGAGTCTGGGGGTTCTGAAGAGGCTGAAGGGCAGATTGTTATTCTGTCAGAGTGCTGGAGACTCTGTGGCCTCAGGCACCAGGGTTAAGGGACCTACACAGCCACCGGGCACCTAGGAAACCTGAAGCTGGTGAGAACTCTACTCAACCCCTGTCAGTCTGTCACACACACTTAGGCATGTGTGCAACATGTACTTTACACCTACATAAATAATGACACTGCCATGCTGGCGCAGTCATGCGTTCATGCACACTCAAATGGCTCATTTACAAAAATGTCATATTCATAGTGTGTACAAACAGATCTGAAGGCATGGAACACAAACATCACCCTGCAACGGTTCAAACGTCCTCACACTCCTCACCGGCGGTGTGTGAATGATCAATGTATACAGAGCAGACGAGATGCCGTGTCTGCTGTGTTCACTCAGCGGGATACAGCGCTCGATGAGGCATGCTAACACACTTCTGCCACGAGGTACTAATGTGTGCACCTGGGCCGGGCTTCACCAACACAGGCCAGTGCATGCATGCAAATGTCACCGTAGATGCATTTCTATTGGCAGTGATCGGGCAGCAGTGCACTGATAGATGTGGTGGTGACTGGCTGTCTGTCAGGCTGGCGATGGCTGCTTACCAGCCAGGCGGCAGGTCTGCTGATCCGGGGGGAGATTATCCAAGGCGCTACGCTGCAGCTGTGAACGAATGCCACCTCCTTTCAACTCATCCCCCCCCCACACACACACACACCGGCCCCCCTCTCTGCTGCCCATCGCCACCCCTTCCCTCTTGGGAAATGGAGACGGTGGCTTTTAATGTCCGTTAATCCGGATTACCAGGCAGAAGCACATCAGTTGTGTGCATTCTCAGCCCAAAACACCTATTCTGTGTGCACATCAAATAGAGCCATTCACGCCGACAAACACATGAAACGCATGAATAAAGCACAAGAGAAAATGAAGTGGTAATAATATTCTAGCTATTTACAGAGAGAGGAAGACTGGATTAATTTCAGAAAGAGAGGTTTGCTGTAGGGATATACCATGCTGGTTCTCTGGGTGAAAGGCCTGCCTGTCTGACTCAAAGAGGGGAAAAGAAAGGGAGAGTGAAGGAGGGGGGCGGGGGGGTATGACGTGGGGTAAAGGGGCCGACACGCTGACGTCTTGCTCCACAAGGTGGCGGTAGTCCTGGTGAAAGCTGGCCGGGAACAATAAAATCATCAGGCCAGCTGACAGCCAAACAGCAGGGGACAGCCCATAGAGGGCAAAAGCGAGCTGAGATGTCAAACACTGGATAAAGAGATACACTGAGACATGACAGATTGCATGTTCTCAATATAGAGCCTCAGCCATATTGCTCTAACGCTGTAATGGCAACAACCCTCGCCCCCACTGCCCCCAGCCCTCCCAGCTATATTTAGCTTGGGACTTCTCCTCAGCAAGTGCAGTGATATCCTCTGTTCAGATATCCTATGTTTGCAGTCAAAGTCTGGGCTCAGGTAATATAGTCACCAGGCTGTTGAAAAAACAAATCTCCCTTTCTGAGTTTTTAACGTGTTTTTGGGCCACACGTGCCTTTATTAGCCGAGTATGTTTGAATGCTCTGAGTGACTGAACATAATGGGCCTCACTGAGTGCCAGTTTTTGCCTGAAGACATTTATGCTGTGAAGGCTATTTCAAGAATCAGCAGCACTGGCGGCGTACACATCATGTTTACATCGATGAGCGACTTACTCCATGGTCGAGTGGGCGGGAGGGAACATACACACATGTGAGAGAGATATTCACACCCATGCATGTTCCCCACACTCGAAGCTTTAGCACGTACTTCATGCCGTATCCACACAGAGGAGTATAGACCACCTACACCTCCCATACGAGCCCGTGATGACAAACCTCTCTGATGAGCTTTCCACATCCTGATTAGCTCACCGTGCCGGTGTGAAATAAAGAGGTCACCCAGAGCACAGCACGGTGTGCTTGAATACATCTGCCTACATGCCCGTGTGTGTGTGAAATTGTGCATATATGACAGGCAGCAATCAGCCTACTTACTGGAAGGAGGGGGGCCGTGAGTCTCCGATGCCCCCTGTTCTCTCGAGAGGAGGGGGCAGCTCTGGATGGCTCTCTGTGCACTGAGATCCTCCATCAGAGTGGGCACTCTCTGCCAGGACCAACTGAGAGAGGGAAGTGGGAAAAGATTCGTTAAAGACGAGACATATTCATGCTCTGAGAGAAACACAAACAATCATAAATATTCTGTTGAATGATATAGGCCCCATAGCGAGGAGAGAAAAGAACCTCAACAGACATCGCGACATAAACACACAGTGATGCCGGCACCAGAGACAAAGCACATCTTGTGTGCAAGCACGCACGAGGAAAGGCGAGATGCCGCAGAGAGGCTATAGAGATGAGGACGCATAACAACTTGAGAAACACAGCAAACGACATGGAAACTTAAAAGCACCACAGTGCTTTTACTCAGTAGAGTGTCAGTACAAAGGATGATGTACAATGACCCATAGATACAGCTACTTTCCTTTCATCAGAGCCAGAATAATGGAAGATAAAGCAGGCAGCCGTTAACATGTGTATGGACTGTGATTATTCTAATGCGAGCTTTGGGATTCACAGTTGCTCTAATTCAAAACCTGGAAGAATTTCTACATTTTCCATCACCTTCTGCTCCGTTCTGAATGCCTTTCTGTCTCAACGAATGAGCACTCTGATCCTTGGTGTTCCAGTTTTAAGGAAAACTGCTTTATAAAGATATCTGTAATGTGACTTCTTCACCACATTTTACATAGTGTACAAAAAGAATCAGACACATGAATATTTCTCAGGTTTCTCTAGTCTGTTGATAGTGGGAATTGGTAACATTTGTTTTAAAACATGAATAAGTTCTGAATTGACTAACCATGAGAGGTAGTACCTAAGTAGTGCCTTAAGGTTAAAGGGTATCCCGACATTTGTTCATTTACATTTTTTTATTGTATGTTTTTAACATATAAAAACAGAAGAAAAAAGAAATACACATCGAAATCCCCACAAAGCATCTTTGCTAAAGCCCCGTTAGTAAAGATGCAGTGATGCCGCAGCTTAGATTGGTGGAATAATATCTCACGCTTTTCTGAGAGAGTGATGTAAAGATTTTCCACTGTAAATGCATCTTAAAGAAACTCAGTTTATATTACTTGAAGCAGCCAAAATAATCGTAAAAGCACCCAACAGCATACGTATGCTAATTGCATTACAGGTTGCTGATATAATTAAACGATGTTATATAGTGGGAACTTTGCACTAACAGTGTGGTATAGTGAGACCCCATTTAATTACAGGCTTCAAGTCCTCTCGTTAATACTCTATCGACACTGAGTAAGTGATATTGAGCAAGACAGTCCTTAATGGCTCTATAGCCACCACCGTGTTCCTGATTCTGACCTCTGACCTCTCTGGGGAGCGAACTAATGAATTGTTCCACAGAGATCTATAAAGTATAACACTGTTGTACGGAATTGTTAAAAAAAAGCCACAAAGTAGATTAAACATGTCAAACATCAGTATTTACAGCCAGAGCTTTAACCTGTGTCTTCTGCTCTGTATGACAGAGCAATGATTCAGATCTAAATCCTCCTTTAACACGATTTATCTGATCATCATACTTTACTGTCCCCGTAGGGAAACTCGGGCTCACGGCACTGCTCATTTTCCATAAATACAAATCACTATAAAGCCACAGAAGTCAATAGAGTAAGTGACCACCAAATAGCTTACACCAGACAGTATGATATTCCTTGTTTTAGCAGTCAAACTCATATTGTATTTTGTAACAGTAGCTAAGTAAAATACCTAATGGAATCACCCACAGCTATACAGTACAGCTGAACAGTGAGATCAAGCTGAAGACTGTTCAACAAGCTCTGTGGAGGCGTTACAAAAACCACATTTACATCATCCATGAGTGCGCCGCACATATCTTTGCCGAGAGCTGAGGCTGCACAGCCAGGAGAGAGGGGCAGCATGGGTGCACCATTCGTCTCACTTACCCAGGACACTACTCTCCCGTTGAAGCAGGGCAGCTTGGCGTTGTCATCGGAAATCTCTTCTTTGACAACCCTGGGGAACAGGCAGACAGAAGCAGTCAGGCGAAACGACCAGGAGAAGGACACGGAGTCAGCTCAACAACACAATATACGGTCTGGAGACACTTCCCCTCTCCCGGCATGGTAATACATAGTGAGAGACATTCACGCTTTGTCGGTCGCATTTTCCACATGGCTTTCAACCAGCTTTGCCCCCTTGCTATAGCACGGATGAGGTCAGTGAGCAGCAGCGATGACACTCTCAGTCCGAGACTCTTAGTTGTTGATTTATGAACGTCATGGCTGTCCGTCTCTCCGGTGACACTAAGCACATTAACGTTATGAGGGCCGGTCAAACTGGCAAGGATAGGGGCATGAATCTGTAATGATAACCTAATAGTAACCTGCACAGGTGGGATTAAGTGATTGATAGATAGATAGATAAACAGACGTATGAAAATCTTCAGAGGGCGTCAAGGCACAGGAGTGTGTATTAATAGAGTGATCTAGTGTGTGAACCTCCCTTAGTGTGTTCATCTTTGGCTGTAAATTCCCAACAAAAATACCACCCAGTTGCCCTCTGACCTGCTGGGACACAGTTCAGCAGCAACCAGTCACCACACCTGCTAGGCTTGTGTCACACAGATCAAGCCTGGAGCTCGCCAAGGGGCACAGGAGATGAGCTGGCAAACCCCTTACATACACACTGACACACACACATAAAACCCCCGATATATTTAGCAGTTTCCGTTATAACCCCCTGTGTATCTTTGTGCACATTGTTTGTTTGTTTTTTTGCAAAGAATTTTCCCAGAAATGGTGGAACCAAGCATTTTGTGAGACTCTGCGGGGATCTCACATTAGCTTCTTGGCTTTGAACACGGTACATGAAAAGGGAGAGGCACGACTTGAGAGCAGCAGGAAAGCCAAAGAAGATTTCATGCAGGGGTGTCTCTGACAGCGACTTTTCAGCTTCTTTTTTTTTCCCACTTCTTGTTTGCCAGAACTTCCCTGCTACTGAAATGATTAGCCAAGCCGGTTGTGTTTGTGTGCGCGCTGCTGCTGTGGGAGCTGTGTTGATGGGAGTGGTGGACAGAGATAACGTAGCCTTGTGGCTGGAACTGGCGGCCGCAGACTCTGCCGTTGTGGCCTGTTCCACCTCCAGGGAGGAAAAGGGAGGGAGGGAGGGAGGGAGGCGGCGGCCGACTCTGCCAGCTGCTTGTTAGGTAGGAAGTGTTTGCATCCTCCCTCTCAAGCTGCATGACCAGCTGTAAGGTGACTTGTGAGGATGTGGGAGTGGCCCGTACAAATAAAATATCAGCAACGCTTCTTTTCCTAATGTTTGCCAGGAATAGGATTACCTGTTCCACTTGCGCGTATAACTGTAATTTTGTATGGTTTCTGAAAGAACTGGCATGCAAAATAAATCTCTTTAACATATCTCGTTCTGTTACAAGAACTGAAACCAGAAAAACCAAAGAAACAATTCCAATCATAACAGATGACGTCTTTATCATGCAGTAAAATACGCATGGCCTGCATTCTCTTCAGTTTGCATCTGATATCAGGAGAAGTGTTAGTTCCACCCTGAGCACTTAACAAGTACAGACACACACACACATACATATACATACATATACATACACACACGCACACACACACAAACAGTAACCTCTGCTCAGATGAGCATATGTCTGGTGTGGGCTGCTGTCACAGATCGGACTTCTTAGAGCTGACAGCTTATATAAGACTTAACAGATTTTACAGGATAATGACACAAGATCTATCCTGGCGATGGCTGACTATTCCACTACTGGGGATATTTGTGTAGCTGGGGAAGATTAGACGTGTTTGTTTATGCTTTGTGAGGCAGAGGAGGGCTGGGTAGTTACGGCCTAAACCAGAAACCAGGGGCAGGAGAATCCGGCCAACACCGGCAGCAGCAGTCCAAGGACTTTGGTGGGCTGATGCTAATGATACTATAAACAGGGAAGCAAAATATTTGTAGTCAAACCAGATTGTAAATAGATTGACTTCAATATGAAACAGAGTCTGACTCAGTAAACGGCTAAATTAAACTTTAACCACCCAGAGAGCTGTTAATAACAGCATGCATACTGTTGCCATATTTAGTACTGTAGCCGTGTGATTTTCACAGCATCATAATAACAAAGTTCGGATTTTTAAGGTCCATTTCCAGACATAATGTTAATATCTCACAAGTATTGTATCGTCACCACATGATTAGCAGTCTTGTTGCAAACGCCGTGATGACACACAAATGCAGCATAACCTTCGAAATCTATCACTATCCTCAAACAGCGAAAACAGGCGAGGTGAGGCAGAGGTGCATTTGTGCAGAAAGCTGCAGATTTCTGTCCTCTAACTACGGGGGCTTAGCACCCCTACCTCAGCAGAAGAAAGATTCCGCTAGCAGCCCCCTATTTTCTAAAGGCACAAACACGACTGTTTCTTTCAGAGCTTGGGCTTGGCTGCTCCCTCAGCTCCAGAGTGCCTCTGTGACTTGCATTACAGTGAGGTCTCAAACCCACTCACCACCAGTGGCAATGACAAAACGCCATATCATCACCTTGAAGTCTCCAAAAAAACAAGCCAAGTGGGTTGCTTGAAAACAACACTGCCTCAATGAGCTTCCTGTCTTATGAATATTGATGAGTGAATGAATGTTACGTGGTGGTGGGGGGGGGGGGAACGACCGAAGTATGAAATGTGTTCATCCTTTAATTTGCTGTGGTGTGTTGTGTGAATAGAAACGCCACAGCCTGTATTCCAAAGGGAACTGAAGTGACATGTTCACTGCGGTAAGCTGAGGCGTTTTGGGGGCAAACGCCCGTTTATCAAATTGGTGTGGCCGTTGCTTAGAGAGCCGATATTGCCAGCACAAATGTAGTTCAGCAATCCCATAAGAGAATGGCTGGTTTTTCCGGCGCAGCAGGGGGTCTACTACAGAGGACCTTGCACTGACTGCTCATTTACATTTCAAACACAGTCTATAACTGCAAGGGATTTGATGTTTTCCCTCTCTGCTCAGCAGTCTTATTCCTCCCTTGCTAATTCTCCAGCAGCCATACTGTCTCTGTGTGTATGCAGTACAGCCAGAACGGCTACCACAAAGTGCTGCTATCCTCTGTGCTTTTGACTGGTTTTGCTTCCATACTGTGCCAGTGCCATACGGCGCTCACAGAGCCTGAATATTCAGCCTCAACTCAAAGGCTGGAATGCTGATGGGGACACCTTCACGAACTGTGCATAACAGCTCTGTGTGAAAACATAGTCATTCGACAAATGTCCAATTCACGACGTAATGTAACATGCTTTGTTGATATGCACACGCAGGAGCCGGTGTTCGGCAACACGGAGCCTCGTCTCTATGCGGAGAAAGCAAACACGCTTTGTTTGTTTCCATAATCTGCTTGTCGATCACCTGAGGCCCAGTGAGCAGCCCGGCCTGCAGTGCAACAGAGGCAGGAAGCCGGGGCTGGGGACAAAGCGGCGCACCAAACCTAGCCCGCCTGCCACCAGGAAGAGACGGTTTCCCTCACAAGGTCAGGCTGCAGTGGAAATGTATGACGTTTGGCTCTACAGACACTGCCTAGCCTCTGCATTTCCTCCAATCATGTTCGCGGTTACAGTGCTGTGGTAATGTTTTTTTTGTCTCATGTATGACTGGTCAGACTGGAATGAGAAACAGGCACTGACACAAATATGTCATCCTCAGCAGAGGCCTGATACAAGTAGATCTCGCAGACCAAGAGAGCTGAGGAGCTTTGTAGACCTGCTGTAGCTCCTGAACATCAGGATGGGATTACAAAGAGAGGAACCGCGAGAAAACAAAAGGAGAGAGAGAAATATTTCTATTACTCGTAAGGTCCAGCATGCAGTGGATGAAGGAAGTAGCTCCTGTGGCTTTCTGGTGTATAATTCACCATGGAAAATAGTCAAACGAGATACAGTAAAGACAAATTCTACTTAGATTACTTCATTCATTTGCTTAAAAAAAATCAATTTGCATGACATGTAATGTGTCTGAAATATTCTATTTTGTTCTATAACTAATGCTACAACATACAGTAATTAATTTCTCTCTATCCTGACGACAGTAAATTACAATACTGCATATTACAAGTCTAAATACATGACCAAACAGATATATAGAAGTATATTCACTTTGCATTACTTAAATTGAATGTATTCGTCAGGAAAACAAACACACATTACTGTAATAACCCAGCTTATGATACTGTATTCGTTAGAAAAACCAGGTTATGAGGGTGTTGCATTGTTTGACAGATCTCCTCGTCTGGGGCAATTAAATGCAAAAGTTGGTTACATGATTCCATATCTTACAGTCACAATCACTGGCTTGCAGGGCCCGTGTTCCCTTGAGATTCAACTGCAGTCCATTGTGTGCGTTTGCGAGTAAAGAAAGACAACTTTCTGGGCTATCATAAGTGGATGTGAATAAAATATACATCTTTAAATGGTCATCCTTTCCTATCCTGAACACCACACTAACCAGGCGAAACCAAAAACAAAACAAGACAATGTGAAACCTGAGTACTTGAACATGTGGTGGCTTTGTCAACACTGCTCCCACATATACATTGTTCACGTATTGACACTAATATGGGTTAATATGTTGACATGAATACGGGGAGCAGGGGTCTGGCTCTGTGTAATGCATGCAGGGCTGCGTCATTAGGGCTCTGGACAGATCTGGTATCACTTCAAACACTCATGTGTCTCCTCCACTGCGCACAGGAGAGTAATAATGAGCAGGTGCCAGGAGCATGGAAACAGACATGGCACTGTAGTTTGCACCGTCTGATGTTGCCTATCGCGGCTTGTAATAAGCTTTTGATACATTTATACACACACACACACACACGCGCGCGCACACCGCAATAATAAATAGCAAGTGAGCCAGACGAACGGGCTAATAATAATAATGGTGGCCACCTACCCAAAATCCTGGTCCATCGATTTGAAGAAGAATTTGTAGCTGTTGACCGGACGGTTGTTGAGGACATTTTTAAAATCCGCTAAGGTGACTTTCTCCGGAGAAACGGACAGTTTGACCAGATAAGGGGTCTCCTCCTCGTCTATGTGATATATTATTTTAGTCTCCGCCATGAGAGTGAGGGGAGGACAATCATTGACACAGGAAAGGAACAAGGGTTGGCAGCGCAATAAACAGGCCTGCTATGTTACCAGCTACCCGGAGAATAACATAACAGCATTCCCTAAAACATAACCCGGTACACCCCACGGCGGAAGAAAACGCTCCGTGTGTTTGACAAACACAGTGAAAATCCCGACATAATCGCGTTATGAGTGCCTGTATTCCTGCTCCAGTGCGAGTCGGTACGGTGGCTCTCTCGGCACTAAAACAGGAAGGGACAGTCCACATCCTTGCGATATGGAGTTGGGAATATTGCTATTTTTCACAAGCTAATTGGTTAGACAGTGCTGTCATCTAGCGGCGTGTCCGGGCTGTGCGCAGGCCCACCCGCCCGTTTCATACTACTGTACAGGCATGACTAGGGAACAAAGAGGAGGAAGACTGGCTTTATGAAGCATTTTTAAATTATTACTGCTAACCCCGATATAGCGGTGGTGACTTACTGTGTGAAGTGGTAGCAATTAAACTCAATTTCATATTCATTGCATTCGATACAATTAAAAATATTTTTTTAAATCTATGTATTCTAATGAAAAAATATACATAGTTTGAGATACATGACGACCTATTTTTTGACACAAATATCTGATTAGTCGTTGTAATCGAAGGAATATAAATAAAAATCCTATAAAATAATCAAAAATGTATCTTGAACATTTTTTTAATACGATTTAAAAAAATACAATAGCAGCACTGGGGGAGATTTGAAGGGTAAAGCAGAACGGGGCACAAGCTGCACTAATAATTGTAGGCTAATTACGCTCCAGTAATTATTACATTTTTATTATTATTATTAAATTAATTATTAAATTATTATCCAGGCTTATTAAAAATTAGATATGTCCATAGCAATAATTACAAATGACAGCTACAATAATTAGACATTGATCATGATTGTAACTGCCTAATTATCCCTCTGTGTGACTTATCACCCGAGGGTGAAAATAGGTGGACACTTTGTACTGCACAGCTGGTTACTATGTCACATGAACAACTGGATGTTATTCAACACAAGTCTACAGTGTCTCACTCATCTCTCTACAATGTAAAACAATGGTAAATAACTTACCTTAAATGTTGCTTTTCTCATTCTCTCCTCAAGACATCAGAGGATACTGATGCATTATAAATTCATATCACAGTTCCCGACTCATCCAAACACCAGATATGTTGGTTAATGTCTGTGGGTCCCCCCTCTAACAACCAGAACAAATAGTAACGAGTCTGTGGCCACTGTTGCTAATCTTTATTAGAAGACATATTTTCTTAAAAGAGACCAACATCAGAGAGTTAGGATTACAGTTTGTGATTTAGCATTACTGAGATGGTAGACACTCTTCTTCCTGCAATAAACCTCATCAAGCTACTGCCGCACATTTTTAACAGATTTTATACCTGCATCAGCAGGTTTAGTAATGAAAAGTCAGTGTTTTACAAACCTCGGTACTTTATGCATGCTTGATACAAACAAGCAAGCCTCCTGCACAGCCCATTAAAACAAAATAAATGGGTAAAAGATTGTTTTTACCTGAGTTTTGGTAGACTGGGCCTTTAGTCCATGATTGTATAATTTCACTATTTTTCACTTGATAAGGAACCAAGGAACCATTTGGGAACAAAAATATTATTTGAAAAAGAAATGAAGTCTGGCAGTCCGCATTTCTAAAATACATAATCACCACAGTTGAGTTTTGAAAAAAAAAAAAAAAAAAAAAAGTCTTATTATGCAGCTAGAAATGTGTGGCACTTGTTTCCAAACACTGTCTGAAACTATCAACTGTCTACCGACACAAATGTTACCTTTGAAACATGATGCAAATCCTTTACATATTACAGTACAGCAGAATTTGTGCAAAAAACAAAATGATCAAATCTCAAAAAGATGCGAGCTTACAGCTCTGTAGGCATGCACAGTACACATAAAACATACTTTAATAAACAGCATGCAATTTTGTAAAAGAAAAAAAATAATGATAAAAAAAAAGCCTAATATTCAACATAAACTATTCAATGAATGCAAAGAATAAGGATCAAATATATGTTTAACCGTATTGTTATAAGAGCTGGTGAAAATGCAAGTTATATTAAAAACAACGACTTAAAAAAATGTGTTGGCTTTTAGTGGAAAAAGCTTTTAGTGTGTTAGAGTTACAGCAGAGGGAGCATTCCTCCTGTCCTCTCCTGGGTTTCCTCTTTTTCCCCCCTTCTCTCCACAGTCCTTTACTCTTCCGGTGATTGCCCTGGACCTGCCAGCAGCATCTCAGAAATATTGTTCTCACTTCCACAGCTTCACAAAGTCTGAGTGAGCGGACGGGAGACAGACATCATATTAATAAAATATTATGTTTCTTATCTGTGCCTGTAAGGATGTTACTGTTGCTGTTTATTTACTGATATACAACTCTGCACAATGTCTGCTCACCATTATTGCAGTCTTTGGCCATATCTCTCTCTTTCAGTAGGTTGTTTTTGTGTTCTGTGGATTGCCGTACACATACAGGTTATGAGAAAGTACTTAATTGATGTGTGTTTCCTGCACATGTGTGGAGGAGGCTGACTGTACCTGAATTCATAGGTTCTTGGTTACAGGTCCTCAGCTCTGTGCAGTCTAATGACATTTCACCTCCACCCATCACATGTCCCCTGCACAGGAAAAAAGCATTGTTCTGCTTACAATTCACTTCAATTCAAAGCAAAGAAATGCCTCATCATTTAACTTATAGTAATGTCTTACTGATCAGGTCGACGCAGGTCATACTCCAGACCTGAAAATGTAAAAAAAAGAAACAACACGCAATCTCAAAACACAAAGTATCCAACAAATGTGCTCTCTATGAATATGCATTTCATAATTATAAAATAAGCTTGTTGTCAGATAAAAGCTGAGAAAACAAGGTGAGTTAATGACACACACAGTACCTCGCTTTTTGCGTCGTCGAGTCAGCACAATGACAGCGACAACGATGAACGCCAGCAGTAAGAAGGTTGCCAGGAAGTAGCCCAAATGCTGCACGAAATAACCACGATGCTCGGGGAGGATGACATTCACCACACGTGGACCCTCCACCACTTCAGTCCCTAAAGGCAGAACGTGGATAAAAGCAAACCTTTTCTATAATAAACACAGCTTGCAGGACATGTTGTAAATATTCCACATCGTAAACATCAAGAGAACTCAACGTACTTACAAATTAACAACAACAGGAAGTATTTTAGAGGATTTATTGTCATATTCTAACTGTATAAATATTGGATTGTTATATTGGATTAACGTAATGGCAATAAACAGATCAAACTGGAAAGTATTTTATACATAACTAGAAAATCTTATTCCCCCTGAGGTTTCCAAAAGCCAGAGAGGGAGAGCAGGAGTTAAACGTCTGTTCTGTGGTAATGACTTCCAGACCTGATGTCATGCAGCTGTTTTTTTTTTTTCATCATTTGCGCCTCAGAAAAACACATGCTGACCAGAAAAGAGGGGGAGAAGTGTGAGGAAAGAGAGACAGATTCTGTTTTGTGGTCGGTTTGCGTGTCTGTATTAGTTTTCCATTTAAGCCTTTTCACGTCTTCTCACAAACCCAGAAGTGTAGTTTCTGCATGCATGGAAAATAAATCTGTGACACTCTCAGTAGAGTGAAATACAGTCTGTGTACATATCTGACAACACTGCAGGCAGCTCCAGTCTCACAGTGAACAATAATCTTCAATCCATGTTTATAGAGCAGTTGAAGGGTAAAAAATAAATAGCTTCCTTGTCGTTACTGTACTCTTTTAAATTTCTCCCTGAATTCAAATGCAGCCTGTCACAGAAGCCAGATCATAGAAAAAAAAATGGATCATGAAAAGTATTTTCCCCTTGAATTTTTCTCTTGAGTAAAGGATTCCTCTCTGGTCTCTCATTAAAACAGATAAGTTGGACTCTAGTAAAACAAGGCGCCACTGAGGGACTAATGAGGAAAACATTCAATGTACCGTCTCTGATCATGCATTCAAAAGCAGCCAATCACGGAGTAAAAAAAAAGCTTATTCTGACTTAATCACCCAGCTCCTAAATGGGAGCTTAGTTGGCAATTATCACCTGTCATTGTTTAATGTACCTACTATGGATGAAACTGCAGAGACATGTCTAAGGTCATCGTCTCTAGAGCTCATGTGTCACAACCAGAGCTGCAGCCACGTCCCAACAGCAGCCCATTTCCATTTCCCTTGACAGATCTGACAAGTGTGACTGTGTTCACGGCTATTTCACATATGCTGCACAGAGCTTACCCTGTGTTTGTGTCCCTGTGGGATATACTTCATTTGCAACTCAGTGGACTGAAGGGAAAGCATCTTCATTTTCAAATAGAGATGTCTGATGAACAGCTCACACACAGCTCGCCCTCTTCGTGATTACACAGACACAATGTTCGATTAGCTACAAAGAATTACAGCATTAAAGTGAAATATGTAATTTCAGATGATTGCTGGCGCCTGCGTGAGCACAAACAACTTACTTTTAATCTAACAGACAAGATCAGCGGTGCGTAAAGAAGAAGTGAATTCTTAGATGAGGTTTACTCAAAGGGCGCAGGCAGGATGCCATTTATCCACGTGTGCATTTCCTCAACATATTTATGGGGCTAATGCTGTCGTGGGAGGATCCATAGTCTAACACATACCTACATCCCTTCCCTTTACTTTGCTCTTTCATGTCACAGCTGGCCCAAATGTTGAACATATGCATAAGACTTCCTTCAACTGCTGGTAATTCCTCAACCAGAGGCTGATACACATCAGCAGAGGGAAAGAACAGACTGGGAGAATGAATAAACAAAACTTGAGATACAGTGTAACCAGCCTGGACTTGTGGTTGGGACTTTTGGAAAATGAGGTCAAATGGAGGAAAAAAACACAAGATATGACCATCCACTCCCAAAATGACTGGCTGCTGGAGCCTACTCCTCTGCTCAGCACAGTTAAAATGTCTCCAGCTGTAAATGAAAAAGCTGTAAAAGTGGAGAGAAAAAAGTCAGCGAGGAAAATGAGGCCGCTTCCGTCGCAGCCAATTTAAAGCTCTTTACTGTAGACAGCTTCTCAAGCCAGAGCTGCATATAGTTCACTCCAAGAAAACTCACTTTTCAATGTGCAATGCCGAATTCATATAGTCAACAACTCGCAGAAAGATATCTGTCTTTCTTACTCAACTAGCTTCTACATTCCTTCTACCTCCTCCCTCTTCAGCTCAAACACAAAAACAGAGAGGTCTGAGGAGGAAATTGGCAGAGGAGAAGAGGAACTGATGTAACTGACCAGCTATGCCTATAATTATAACAAAAAGCCAAGAAGCTGTGTCGTCACTCTATGCACAATTCAGCCGAGAAACCAAAAGGGGATAAACATTTACCACTGCTATCATCTGGAAAAACAAAGGTCTAGTGATGTCTCTTTGTTGTTTTTAATTGTGAGTGACTTACTTGGCACTGGCACATCATTCTGGAAAACCCTGGGTGCTGTAGTGGGGTCGGATGGAAGCGGAGGTCCCACAGTGAGCCTGAAGATGCGTCTCTCATGCAGACCACAGTAATGGTGATGCAGGTGGCAGGAGTACAGGCCTTTATCAACGGGCTTCAAGTTAGAAATAGACAGTGAGAAGTCTCCTAAAGTGAAAGCGTCCTCCTCCACGTTCATCTTGCTCTGTCCAAAGAGCGGCCCATAATCCCGGCGCTCTCCGGAGGCATAGAGGTCCACCAGGCGGCCAGCCCTGTCAGGACGCACGCCAGGAGGCTGGAAGTCCCAGTGAGCCACTTGCTGCTGATCCTCCTGGAGGCCTTCTCTCCACAGGGAGCGCCGGTTCACACAGGGCAATACCACTGACTTGCCCAACAAGACCACGAACACAGTCCTCTCTCCATCCCAGTAACGTCTCTCCTTTCGAGCTGGAAACATACGAGTGTGAATTACATTACTATATAATCCGTTTCATGCATCTTGACTCATGGAATAGCATTAGGGTGAATGATTAGGACTCCTCACCTGATTTAGTGACATTGAGTTGGATTTGAATGGACTGGTGAATCTGGCAGTAGTGATGGTGCAGATTACAAGTATAAACTCCTTTGTCAGTTGTGACAACATCTGAAAAAAATAAGCAAACAAGCAACCGTTACATTAAATTGGAGATGGAAGAGTGCAATGTTCATGGTGCTAGTGGAAATAGTGGGGGAGTCTCACTGTTGATGATAAGAGAGAAGTTGCCGTCATTGAAAGCAGAGTCTGGGACTGAAATGCGTCCCTTGTTGAAGCCATTGTAGACCCTCTGACGGGCTCCAGGGGACATGTCAAGGATTCGCTCCACAGAATACTCTGGGCTGCTGCGCACCAAGTCCCAGTGCACCACCCTCTGACGGTCCTTCAGTCTGTCCTGGGTCCACACCATGCGGGGGCTGTGGCAGGGCAGAACGGCCTTGGACCCTGCAGGGAGGGTGATGTTCGTGGCCTCCACCACCAAGCCAAGCGCGCTGCCGCCGCTCTGACCCCATGCTGACACAAAAAAAAACATTGGTTTCAGGAGATCAATGCAGCAATGACAGAAAGAGATTCATCAAACATGAGCAATACTTTAAGGCAGTGCATGGAGAAACAAAAATGTCTTACCTCCTGGCAAGAAGAGCATAGCAACAACTGAAACGGGAAAAAAAAAAGAAACATGAGTGATTGGCGTTGTATTCTACTGAAGCACTAATTCATTCTCACTGAGGTATCGTAGATATCAGTATGTTCACTTATTAAGTCTTGAGAAATATTTATAAGACAAAATGTTGTGGTCGTTTGAGAGTATCGGTTTGATCTGGACTCGCCCAACATTGAAAGATTTCAGCTTTGGAACAGCTGCGGGTTCAGTGAGAGGACTGTTTACAATAACAGAGGAAAACTGAAGAAACAGGGACACAGTAAGAGGCAAGGTTTTAAAAAAACAGAAAAGTTCCACACAGAAACCCAACAGCAGAAAAGAAATATACCAGATGTCAACAATATTCTCTGGAAATATATTTTGTTTGTGCTTTTTCACTCTAGAAATAGGAAATGTTCCTACAGCGCATTTGCTGTTTCTATGCATTTTTCCCACAGTGCTATTTCCTCGTCTGTTTACTGAAGGGCCAGCGGAGACGCATGCGGCCAAAGCACACAGAGCCTCTATTCATCCTGGCTGCCGCTGGCTTGTTGCAAGGCCATGATCCTGAGGGGATGAAGAACCGGGCTGCTATTCAGCTGACTTCAGTCACACCAAACACCTGTATGTTTTTACTCTCCTGGTAATGTGTACCATGAACTACAGAGGCTGGAGGTGCAGAGCCTTCAGCAAGGTGTTTTGTGTGGATAAATTCAGTACATAAAAAATGTATAATTGAATAAAGAGTGGACTATTTTCAATGCACAGATAATACTGATTTGGAAAACGCCATGATTAATCAGCACATTCTGTGTCCATTCATTTAGTTTGAAGGTGCAATATTTCTAATGTTTTATATAATCCAAAATTAATTCAAAAGTACAAAAATGACAATGTAATTTGTATACAGTAACTAACTACATTTCAAAGTAATCTGACCAAACCCTGTTCCTCCACCACCGTCTAAAAGCAGAAAATACCAAATGGCTCATTCGAGTGTATTTTCATCACTGACACGTAGAAGCCAGCCGCACAAAATCAGTTTGATTCTGGTTGCAAGACCTAAAAGATCCTTCTCCATCGAGGGGTTTTGCTCATCTTGGCTGCACATGCGGCTAAATCACTTCATATGTGATCACAGGCAGCACACATGTGAAGAGAGTTTTCACTTCACCACCTCCAGATAATACTTCACTGGAGTGCTGTTAATATGCTTTTGTGTAGTGATTTGCACCAGTATATAATAATACTTCAAGCTGAGCAGAATAAATTCAGCACACACGCTGGCATCAGAGAGAAGACATCATGCTGGAAAACTTCATTTTTTTTTTTCTAATGAAGGCTACAAACTTTCCTGCAGAAGGTAACAAAGAGTCCCCACCCCTGTAATTTTCTCTCCTCCAGACACACAGGCTCATGACTCGCGAGGCTGGTTTTTAATGCTGAAGACTTAACAATGTGCTATTGAGTAGCCAGCTATAATAACAGGCGTTTACCAAACGATCTTCCAAATCACTGTTTGTCATTTGTAACCCCGGGAATCACTGAACAGAATGTCACCCCTAAGGTTAAACAAGAAAAAGGTTTCAACTCAGACATAAAGCATGTGTTTACTCGGCATAATCCATGCGATACGTGGGTGGGAGGCTTTACTCACAGCCCAGTCACACGTTGAGAATAAATCAAACAGATGAGTCCAGCTGCAGACTCAGCTAAACATGCAAAGACACATCCAGATGCCTGGAGCCATTGACTCCCCTGTGGATAGACTCACATTAAACGGCAGATTTGTATATTTAGTCATGTTGATTTTCACACGATCTACAAATTTGAATGATTCCAAGTAGTTTCTATTAAGTTGGCTCTCATAATATACTATTTCCTTGTGAGTTATAGCTTGTTGAATGTGTTTTTATGTACTGCTTTCTATATTGATGTATTTGATGCATAACTTTACTGAGTATATCATTGTAATTGTATACATGTGTCTTGTGGTTGGGACTACATCTGTGCACTTAAGTACTGCATTTGAATAAGTTAACTATAATTTCCACTTTTTTTGATAAGGTTTCATGTATGTCTGATCATCTCAGTGTGTGGGCACATTTTCACTTTAAAACCCCTTTTCTGCTGAACAAAGTCGAGGGATTGTCTACTGGAGCTGTACAGAACACAAACATGTTACTTTACTGTGACCTTGTTATTTTCTGCCTTGAATGAGTAGCTACATGTTTATACGATTATTTTGTTGAAAACAGCAATCCCAATCTTTTCCATGCCTTGTTGTCCAGTGGCCGGTAATTAAGACAGAGCCCATCATAAACAGGGTTGGAGCGGTAATCCCCCTCCTCCACGTTGTCTGGACTCAAAGAAGCCCACTCGCGGTGAAACACTCATTACTGACACATATAATGACTGACTGCCGGATTGTGCTGACTCCTTGACTCAGACCGCAGTTAACTAGAAACACATTGGGCTGAAGCCACAAAAACAATCCCACACGCACAGCATCAACAAGCCGAGGTGAGTCAAAGCCATGCGGCGCTGCTGTAAATGCCTCGCTTCACTTTCAGGTCCATGACGCTCCACGCATTTTATTTTCAGATCTTAGAATGTTTCAAAATAAATGGCAAATAAAATGAATTCCTGTCATCTTGAATAACATCACTCACACAGGAAATATAGTTTGAGATAAATAGATATACACCGGGTTTCAATGCAAATAACATATACGTATGTACCAATACAAATAATAAAATATGTATTATGATGCCCATAAATAAATAAATACATAAATGACACAGAAAAGGAACAAAACAAGTTTCTGGGTCTTAAAATCTGTAGACGTCACTAAAACTGGTTTTAAAGGATCAGCATGGAGATTGTTATTGAGTTAACAATAAATAATCAAATGAGGACATAACAGAAAAGTAAGTGGCGTCATTAACAAGAATACCGCAGCTAACAACAGAATATCAGCGATGCAGACTGCTGTTGGGTCAATCTTACAGATCCCATTGCAATGACGTTCAGAGGAAAGAACACTGAAAACACTATATTTACTGTGCAAGAAGGGTGCACATGAGAAATAAATAGCTTTCGGATTTTGTTCCCAGCGGGTATTTCTAACCTGGATCCAATTATGGAACAAAGAAAGTTTCCCTCAAAGTAATTTCGTCTCTTTTAAAAAAACAAGAAAAGTGAAGGACTTACTCGGAAGGAGAGTCATTTCGAGGTGCATCTTTTTCACCGTGCCGCCAGCAGAGGTATGAGCCCGTCAGGAGGTGCTGTGCGCATAAATTGATGAAACACAAGACTGCTTCAAGTTCACCGATCAGCGGCTCAGCTGTATTCTGTTGTATTCCTGCAGTCTGGAGCCTTCACACGCTCCGCCTCCGCCAGCCGATGAAATCCAACACTTTGGTGCTGCAGTGCGGGCGAACAGCATGTGTTGTAGCAGGTTACTATAATATAACTCTGAAAGGTTTTGCAGAAAACTGAAACATAACATACTAGACAAATGTAAAAAAAAAAAAAAAAAAGAATGCACCATTGTTTATCCAAAATAAAAATATTTTATACTACACAGCTACCAAACCAATACACAGGTATGTTTTTACAGAGGGTAAAACTGGCTTATATTTTCAAACCTTATCAACCGAGAGAACAAATGCTTTTTATACATCGAACTCTTCGTTTAAGATATCGTTAATTTATATGGTTGAAGATATTGTAAACAAGCCCTTTGGGAAAACTTCCACATGAGGAAGGGATTATAAAGGATCCTTCCTCATTTCCCCCTTTTTGATCTTTGGATTGCTGGTTTCTGAATCAAAGTAACTTTACTTCATAGCCTATTATAAAAGATTTTATTGTACAGAATATATTTTTAAATGGTCACACAGTCGGTTGAGATTGTTGTGCTCGTTTCTGATTTAGTTGGGGCGTTAAGATTTCGAAAGTAAACTAAGTCACCACTGACAGAAGAAATTCCAGGGTTAATCCATTTTTTCAGATTTTGCACAATACTGCCATCCATAGTAAGAAAAGAAAAATGTAATATGTCCTCTCAGCCTAAAATAAAGCCAACAGAAAATGACAGCACACCATGTCTCGGGCTTGAGAGAGAATGATCTTTATTAGATTATGTACACTTTGTTAAAAATAATTGTACACAGGTAATATCTCCTTATCACTGAAACATGCTTCGATTAAGCTGCAAAGAACAGAGAGTAGGCTGATTGTTTTAACTGCAGTGTGTGGTGTGAGGTGTGCAGAGGCATCCTGTGTGAGGGATGTGACCCAAACTTGATTAACTGTCAGTGTTTCTCAGTCTCTTTTGTTTCCATGCTGTTTAATGAAGATCTTAGGTGCACTCCATCCTTCTGGAGCCTTCTTCAGTCCAGCTCGTGTCCAAATCCTCTTCAGATCCTCCTCAAATCGTTTCTGCACAGGACAAACACACACAGTTGGCCGTGGTTTACGGAAAAAAATTCTATTGTAATTTGAGCACAAGTCTTACAACAATTATACACGAAATAAACATGTTTCAAGTTTAGTCAAAATGTATTTCATACATCATGATAAAATACGTTGACTAACACAGATACAGATAAATACTACCATTTGTGTAATGCTATCAAATTATCAGATATTAATTGGCTAAACATTAAGAAATAATCTGTCTAGTCAGCGTCACAGGATCCTTTTTTAAATCCAAAGAGAGGAAACTCTCACCTGCTTTTTTTTCCCCCTGCCTTCTTGCACTCTCCTCCTCAAGAACTTAGTCCGTTTAAGCAGTTTCTTGTATTTATGTCGGTTCATCTTCCGCCGTCGGATCTCCAGAACATTCTTACAGCTAAGGGGTGTTGCTGAACCCTCTCCATCCTCCAAAACGGGGACAGAGATGGGAGGCAGCACCTTCTCTTCCAGCAGCCCTGCATCCTCCAGCAGGGAAGGGAGAGAGTAGCGCAGGGAGAGCCAGCTCTCCAGAGGACTCACTGACATTTTACGTGGCACAAGAGCCTCGTCCAGTTCTGGCTCAAGTTGTACCCATCGAGGAGGAGGTGTGTTGTCCGCTGCTGTTGAGTAGTTTCTCAGTTTTTGTTGTAGCGAAGAGCAGTAAGCAGGAAGAACCGGTTGTACACATCCATTCAAAATGTCTCCATGGCCTTGAAGGGCACCTGGTCATTAAGAAAAAAATATGTATTATATCTTGAGTTACATACTTCAACTGGAATATAGTTTAAGATGAATTCAATGGATGAATAGATAAGATTTTGTTCATACTTACACGTTGCTCTACGTAATAAACGGGAGACAACCCTTGAAGTAAACATTGTTAATTATCATCCAGATAAAGTCATCAGGGATGAGTTGACTGGTCACTGGTCCTGTGGTCACTGGTCCTGTGGGCAATGCGCAAAAGAGTGTTGGTTATAACTCTTCCATAAAGCTTTAAAACTAGCAGTGAAAATATCCATTAATTAAATGGGATATACTTTAAGAAAAAGCACAACAACAAAAAAGTCAGTAGCTTGAGGTAACATATGTCAACATGTCCAAACTCTGGGTTAGCGACAAACATTATAACTGATGTCCGAAACTAACGTCACAAGAAAAAATATGAAATGCACTAACGCTACTAGGAGAATGTAAAATATTCAATATTAAGATAAACTGACAAAAATGAAACTTATTTTCTAGATGGAGGTGTCCCCCTTCGGCTTGTTGCTAATGCTAGCTAGCAATGTCGATCCGCTTCAGACGTGAAAGTCACGATATTATCACTAAAAAGATTAGAGCGAAGACTGTTTAGGCCACCAGCTATCTGACAACATGAATACCGTTATTTAACCCATTTTAGAAACAATGTTACGTTACCTGATATTCGTTTGACCGGGATTTTCGTCTTCAATGTGACTCGAGAAGCCAACTTCCGGGTTGAGCAACACAAAGTTAATGCGTTTCCTGTTTCTCGGAGCGAACAAGTGGTTCCGCCGGAGCAGTTCGATCCTCTGAGAGGGAGAATGAGAACCAATTTGGCTTTACATAACAATAACAATAATGATAATGATGACAATAATAATCAGAAGAAGAAGAAGAAAAACACACATATAACAAAATAAGTAAGAATTGTACTTGTACTTACTATTATTCTACATTTAGAAATAAGATACATACAACCTAATTACAGACATTCTTTTTCAACATTATATTACAGTGTGGACCTATGATTAGCAACATTAATATTTCCACTGGAGGTTACTTACAATCTAGGGTGGAAATTAACTGAGCAACCAGTAATTTAGGAACTACAGAGGTGGATGGAGCTGTCTGTTAACTTTAATCACAATGACCACATACCTCTCACATAAATATCTGCAGAAAAACATGTCATCAGTATTCACCTCAGCAAACATTTGAAAATAAAAACGGAATCCTGCAGCCCAGAAGAAATACATGAAACAGAAAAGTCTACTTGTGGCAAGTGGGGTTCGTCTCAATGTAGTCAGATGACATGCATAAACACTAGATGAGTAAAGGAGGGTGTGGAATGTAAACAGTTTTATGCAAAATACAAAAAAATTATAAAAATAATTTCGAAATGACAGGTATGACATGAATAGATCAGCTGCAAAATAAATATTGAGAATATATACGTATATCATATTTTATGCACTAAAATCCCCAAATTAGGTTCATCTGTGTTTCCAGTACAACCAGGCTGTATATTAACATGCATAGTATGTGCAGTGTATTCAAAACATCTGCCAGGATAACATCAACCCAGCATGCCCCAAGGCTCTTACAGCACACGCACTCACAGAGCAAGCAACTACCGACGTTTACGCATAAAAACTGACCTTCACTTTGTAGATTGACCTTTTTTACTTAGTATGAATGTCTCTGCACATAGTCAAGCATCTATTTGCATAAAGCACAACGTATTCAGGACAGTGTAAAAAAAGCATTTTCTTTTCTGTTTGTGTTGTTTTCACATTGTAGAACTGCACATTTCTAAAACTATTTATGAAGTACTTTAAACATATTATCCATTCCTTGATCTTTTTGTGAACCAATACATTTGGAAAGCCAATTTCAGTCATAACTCAGTCTTATATCCTTTTGACTCATTAAAACCCAATGTTTTTTTCTTCCATGCCGCACGGTTGTACAAGAAGGGAAGCCTCCACTTTTAGATTGCTCTAGTTTTACATACTTGTGGGTAGCCACATCAAATCATTTATTCATGGGGCTTTCTCGCTTTGCTTTCATTAAGATGGTGGGAAGTGGAACATCTACAGTTTGTAGACATATCACAGCAGGGATTTTCTCAATGAGGCATTCGGAATGTTGTATTTGTGTGCAAAAAAAAACACAGAATACCGAGTTTGTATTGCGTGACGTGATGCAGGGCAAAAGAATAGTTGTAAAATAGACTGTAAAGTTCTCCGGGCATTTATTTACAATAAAAACAACAACAACAAAACATTCATTTCATTGAAAATCCTGCTGGCAATTTGCTTCACTATCTATACTTACACCATCAGTTTGTGATGATAAGGCAACTGAAATGATCAGCAGGATATACTGTGAGATTTCCCTTTTACAGAACAGTCTTAATAGCTTTTAAAATACTTCTCTTCTACAAAACTCTTTTCTCAAAATAATATGCAAAGTAAGGGAGAAATAAAACAACAATGTATTGATAACTTGGCAGTAATTTCAAGATATTGGTCAATCCCATTTTAAATTAATAGCCTATACATTACACACTATTTACTCAATATCTATATCTATTTACAAAATCAGTAGTTGTATTTCGAGTTATTTTCTCACTTTAAAAGCAAATAAATATTCACTATTTATTGCAGGTGCATTGCAAATTTACTGCACTGAAAGAGACCTGACCCTTGGAAAAGAGAGAGCTTTACAGATGACAACATTATATTTACTCCAAAGCAACACATACAGAATAAGCAAATGGCATGATGCTGAATGTCGAAAGAGAGGTACAGTTGAACAGAAATACACTATGAATGCCACTTCAACAGGAACCAAATCAATAAATAAAAACATATATCAGTAAGAAAAAACTCAGAACTTAATGTAGAGACTCCTCACCGACAGACAAGACGGACAAAGCAGTTAGATCAGTCATGGATGGATAGATCCATACATAAGCAGACGATACAGACGGTGCTGAAGTATAACTGCAATGCAACACCATTTTCTAAGAAACTAGTGTGCTTAAAAGTTAATCTGAATCTATTAGTTTTATAATTAATCTAATACTGCAATTCCATTATGCAGTACAAGCGAATGAAAAAAATTGAGGTAAAATAAATGTGAGGGAGAAAGAAATTGCATGTTTAAGTTTTAAGGCCATTTCATACGATACATTGCTCTCTTCACTGTAAGTTTGAAATCTAATCTTGCGGAGATTTGGGTTGTGTTAGAGCACAATTGTTTTGCTGCAGCTACACAGTCCTTATATTTGGACTTTATCCAGAAATCAATATAATCACATTTAACAGCACAGCACAGTTCAATATTACATAAGAGGTTTTGTTTGAAAATACCCATATTTGATGCTGAATATTTTGTATTATGTACATATTAGAGATCTTTATTGAGTGGTATTGGTAAAACCATCCAGGCAATTATCTTCTCTACAGTATGTTGCAGCAAACATCCTTCTCGAAATCTCTACAAAGAGCTCAATGGCACTGTCTTTACCCTGTATATCCAGCACACCTGGGCTTCAACAAGACAAACTAAACCAAAGTTATATATTTTACAAATAAAACTATTACATTTGTAGATTTAAAAAAATGTGCACTTTTGAAACAAAAGGTGTGGTAAAAAAACAACAACAACAACAACAACAACAACAACAACATACAGCTAGGCAACAGATGTTTGAACAGGCAAAGAAAAGAGTGGAAGGAAACAGCACTGTGCAAAAGCTGGCCCCTCTTTGTGCATCGTCCTCCCCAGTGTCCTCCAGGTTTCTGGATATGCTGCACTCTTGCCCTCACTGAGCAGCAGACTGGCCAAGCCCCACCTGCTTTTCCTCTTCTTTCTCATCTTCTCATCATTGGTCATGGCAAAGGCCTGTACTCGTCTCACCTCCCAGAGGGATTGTGATTTATGGGAATGCTTTGGGAATAAAAGAGATGTCTGGTCAACACTCAGCAACTGAATTAATGACTAGAATTGGTTATATGTCAAAACAACAATAATGTGTCTTGATTTGATTCATTTCTTAGTAATCTTGACAAGCATTATGACATTATTACGTAGAAAACACCTGACTATACATGTAGATATACAGTGCACAAGCAGCATCATTTGGTTTGCTGTGATGTCTATACAGTATATCTGGTCCATTCGTCCATAGTTTAAATATGTGGATTGAGACTATGAGTGTACTGAGGAAAGTCTAACCTGAAGATGGAGATCCAGGATACAACCGTATGGGTGGAGCTAACAGTTCTGCACACAAAGATGCACAAACAGCAATTTTAAAAAACAAAGGAAAAACACGAAACAACAGCAACAGCACACAAAAAACAATTACAAAAATATGCAGAGCAACAAAGGTAATTCAAAGGTAGCTGGTAATAGTGAAGTAAGAGTTCAGTTTATTCCAGGGTGGGGTTGACTCACCGATGAGGACTGATGATCGTCTGGGCGTTCCAGTTTGATACGCACATCTGTCCCCTTCCCTCGTTCAGGTTTTCCAGGCCCTGAGTGAAAGGTCAACAGTATATTAAACCAGTCCGACACATCCATCAAAGATCCACTTTGAAATTAGTTATCGGTGAATATTAAAGTGGTTTTCAATTTTAAACATGCTGGAGCTGCTTCTCCAAGCATCAGTACCTCTCTCACCTGGCGAGCTGCTGCGACTGGTGATACTGGTGCTGCTGATGCTGTCCTCCAGGCAGGTGGTGTAGGTGAGGGAGTCTCGCTTGTGTGGCGTCCCGACAGCCGACAAACTCTCCTGGAGCAAAACATGTACATGTATCTATAAGACCTGAAGACAAACCGATAACTGATAAGCACTTGTCTTGTGTTGTTACATATAACACTCACCATGGCTGTGTCATAGTCCTCTGTGGGCTCTGTCTCGTTCTCCTCCACAACACTGGCAAAGCTGCTAGCGTTGGAGGAGGAGCGGGAGAGGTCATGAGCCTCGGGGATGGATGGGGCCCTGCCACCGAGATAAGAACTACACCTTGGGTTATCACTCTCCAGCACAGCCAAACCTGATTTTATCTTATGTATAGGACACAGTCATTCAACATGCTGCCACAGCTGAGGATTGCCCAGCACACAGCGCATACACAGGTCTGGCAGACACAAGGTGTGAATTCCATAAGCAATATATCCATGTGACACGGCTGTAACATATACACACCTGTTCTTGGCAATTGGGAGCACCTCCGGAGAGCTCTGATTGGACGAGTTGTCAGACTTGGGGTCTTGAGAGACGTGGCCGCTGTCAGGGGTCTTTTGGGTTATTGGGGCGCTCTCTCTACTGCTCCATGAGATCAGGCACAGCAGAGTGTAGAGAGTGTAACATAGAAACACAATCAATGAATGTACATGCACTGACGAGAAGTAAATGTAGTGAATAATAAACCTTATTTAGCGATTACATGGCTTACATACAAAAGAGGAAGAAGATCAAATGGGTACACAAAAAGATAGTCTTCTCTCACCTCTTCTCGTGGGCTTCTTGAATGTTTTCTATACCGATGGCACTGCTTCTCCTGGAGCTGAAAGGACCAGACTTTTTCCTGGTTGGGCTTTTCCCTGGGATTATCAATGACTGCGAGGGAGAGAGGAAAGACAGTCAGAGTCAATGTACTTGTCATACCTTACATGTTTTTCATTAATATCAAGTTTACCTTAAGAATTTATCAATTTATATATTTATTATTGAGGGGAGGGAATAAATATTTTTGACTTAACTATTCAAATTTCAATCTTCTTGTAATCATTTGGGGAAATGAGAGGCTAAACAGTATCATTGCTCTCTTCGAGTTGTTACTATGATGGAAAGTTAAAATATGCACTTAGCAGCTTAATGTCAAGCCCGAGTGCCAGTCTTTCAGCCAGTGCAGGGCACACTAAGACGGGAGATGAAAGATGGATTTAAAGGCTCCAGGGCATACCACTAAATATGCTTTCTCAGCGATTGCTTTTTTCTTTCACTCTCCCTTTTAATGCTCTTAAAATAAGAACTCGAAAAGCTTTTTTAACTCAATGTGGCTTCAAAGAGCAAAAGAAGGATTCTTATTTAAAAATAGTTTCTCTGTTAGGGGGTCACTAAGTCATTAATATCCTTCATTTTTAAACAAACAGAGAATTGAACATACTGGAATTGTAATACAGGGTAGAAATAAAAGACGTGAACATAAATTGCAGTAAAGAATATAGGACAGAGAGAACAAAAGAAAATCAACAATATTATTCAGTAGGGAGTCAAAGGTGGACCCTTAAAATGTGACTTTTACTGTCTATGTGCTACAGCGATATGACAAAACTGCTTATCTCTTACTACTTTGAATAATTTCTAGATTGTAGTCTATGTAAAATCACAAATATTGGAATTGACAAACCAATCAATCCATGTGAGAATGTGGAGGAAAATATCCATTTCTGCTTTTGTTTTTTTTAATCACAGATTGAGATAATGCTGTTATTCAATGTATCCTGTCTGTAACACACACTAATGCATACTGTGTTAAATGTATAGAGAAAAGTGTTTGATGCAGTGGAGCCATGCAGACAAAAAAGAATAACAAAGTGGAGAAACAAGTAGTTAGAATTAGACATGAACCTCTTCTACTGTTCCTATCCCTATGGCACTGCCTCGACGTCCATATTTACTGGGACTTTTGCCTGGGACCAGCAATGACTGAGCCACACAGGAAGGAGAGAGAGAGAGAGAGAGAGAGAGATGAAAACAGGTGATAAAAAGAAGAGAGGAGGGTAAAAAGGGGGAGAGAAAACACGAGACATAAACAAATATATATATGAGATTACACGCAGTCAGTCATAAACAAAATACAAAGCATGTGTTAACTGGAGAATACAAAGAGGGACATTTTGACTCCATGGGTGCAACACAGGCAGCTGAATGGGAGAGAGAAGTGATGAGTCAGTTATGTGAGCCATATGCCTGCAAGGAAGAGGATGAAGATGATATTAAAAAAACAGCAAATGGGGCCATACAGCATGTTACACATTAGGTTGCACAGCAAGCACAGTTATGAGCAAAAAGCAAGATTGAGTTTTATACATTAATGTAGCATATTGGTTAAGATTACTTTCTCAAATAAAAAAACATTATTATTAATAAATGTGATCTAGAGATACTGTATTAATGTGGATGTCTGTTTCATAATGATTCATCCATACAAATCAGAGAATTTCCATTAAAAATACCTTCCCACAGCCCCCCAAAGTATACAGTATCAGACAAGCAACCCAACACGTGGTCACCGTTAACTCAAGACCTTGCAACTACAATTTAAATGCATGTTTTACTTTCAAGTGAAAGATGAAAAGCTCCTCAATTAGTTGAAAATGGTTGTGTAACACTCAATGTTTTGCAGTGTTTACAGAACTAATATATAAGCATAAAAGAAAGTTCAAAAAAGTTGCCATTTGGAGATACAAGGTTTTCACTTGCACACACGCACACTCACTCACACACACATATATAAACAGTACTCAATCCACATTCATTGGAATTCAAGTGAGAAGTTATGAACAATGCTGATGCATGGGGTAAAAACATTAAGTATTAGAAGCAGCTTTAACCTCGGGGAGAAATTCACCTTGTGTCCGAGAAGCATTCAAGTCTATGAGTGTCCAGACACTCCATCTCGTGCTGGCAGACAATGTGAGAGCCAGGTTTAAGACCCAGGCATAAATGCTCCACTCGAGCCCCTTCTCCGTGAGAAGTTAGTGCAGCAGGCAAGTGAGGGAGGAGGGGGCATGACCTCCAAGAGAACTGCTGGGGGAGGCAGAGGGAGCGAGACTTGCCTCACTCGAGACCAGTAGGAGTGGGTCCGTACTTACTATCCCTGGGAATTTGGGGCTCTCTGCGGGGTCGTGGTTAAAGCTGCTGCTGAAGCTAGTGGAGAATGTGTGCGGCTTCTTGAAAGTAAGACCCGTGGCATCCATAGACTGGCTCCTGCTGCGCATCACCCGCTACAGAGAGAGACGAGGAGGAGGAGATACATTCAGATGGTGCTGACCCCTGTGGCCCCTCAGCATCGCTGTACGGCATTGTGGGCCGAGAGGAGCCTCGGGGCGGTCTCTGAACACTGACCACTACAGGCAGAGAGCGCCGGCCTGATGCTAATCCTGACAGACAAGGAAGCGACAGAGAACACTGCTAAGCTTTAATGCCCGCAGGGGGGGCTCAGATGAGTCATTATATTAAGATAGGTGGTAAGAGAAGAGAGGGGAAGTAGAAGGACCAAGTGGCACACAGATGTCTGACCACACACTAAGTTTAAAGACAGCCAGGAGAGGTTTGAAGTGTACCTCTTTGCAGGCATGGAGCAGAGTGAAAAGGCAAATGGCATCTGATGGTGAAGGAAATCTATCCATTTGCTTTGTATTTATGACAAACAAAGATGACAGAATCATATAAATAAGGGAATAGAGACTGCACACTGGAGCATGCGGCGAGCACAGCAGCACAAAACATCAATGAGGCACGAGGAAGAAAAGCTTTGAAGCCAAGAGGGGTGTGTTCCAGCAGGACAGATCAGCAGAGCTTCTCTTCATTCAAATTAACAGAGATTAAGCAAGATTGATAAACCCTTACAGCCCACAGCTTGCGTATAGATAAGAGCAATCCTGAAAGACTGCCAGAGAGAAGACACCCTTTTTTATATCCGCAGAAGAAGCATCAGACAGCTGATTCAAAAACTGGTTACTGTAACTGTAGATGTTTTATACTGTTCCTGCGCAGTAACAATGACCTTATAATGGCATTTAAAGGTAGAGATAGACATTGTGGGAAATGTGCATGTAATAATAAATATTGATTTAGTTTCTTTTCTTGTTAGAAGCTGAAATTGTCATGAAGTGAAGCTGTCAGTTCAAAGCCCCGGCATCTCTGCTGCCTCTTCAGTTACCTTGAAGGATTCAAAGAAGCCCCCTCCTCCTGCACTCCCGTTTTCCAGTTTGTCGTCGTCTCCTCCAACACCCATCATGGCCTGGCTGTTCACATGGAGCTCCTCATAAAGGGTCTCCAACAAGGCCGACCTCGTTCGTTCCTTACACACACACCAGGCACACAAAGAGGGGAATGAATAAAGGGATCATTTTAAAGAATTCCAGTAATGTTTTAAATGCTTTGCAACAACCTACCTCTAATTTGGCAAATTTTTCAGCTTTGCAGCAGGCGTACTCTGCATTGATGAGCTTAGTGAAAAGGAATTCATGGAATTCAGGGCTCTGAAAATAGAAGGGCAAAGAGACAAGACGTCATGTTGTCAGCTACAGTAGCTACATGACCAAGAGGAGGAAGGTGCACTGGCTTAGGGATGCAGTAGTTCAGCTCTCAAGTTGTTCTTTCTCTTACTTTTTTAAAGACTGCAGGGTTTGGGAGGGCGGGGCCAAAGAAAGGTACATCATCCCGTGCTGTCACTGACACCTAAGAATTAAGAGTAAGATTAGGTTTAATCAAGTGTTTATCACAGAAGGCAAAGTCAGCCCATAAGAGAGGGAAATAATTCACCTTGTAGAGGACATTGTCAGAGCAGGGGTTGACCACTTGGACCACAACGTATGCGTGAAGGAAGTTGGAGGCGATCATGTCCGGTACAAAGGGAGTGTTTTCCTCTTGGAATAAGATGGCCACAATGTCGTTACCTATGTGCCTCTTTCTCTGCAACTGCAACACACACCAGCCAGATATGACATATTAATTCACAGGTGAATTAAAGGTTGATTGTCGGATGAGAGAATGCTGATGTCCTGCATTGATTAATATGTATGAATGTTATCTTTTATCTGCAGGTTTCCGAAAGCCAAAATCATGAAGTCAAATGTAATGCTCTTTGGAGTTGAATTTGGAAAATAATAAGTAGGAGACACTTTAGTCGGCGTTTTGATAAAGCCAGTCTCATTAAAAGAACAATGTTTTTACACTAGTGACAACACAAGTTGTGAACTATAGACATTAAAACTAATTACAAAAAAAGTGCTTTCTCGCCATTCTTCCTCCTCCCTATCTCACAACCGGATGCGCTTGAATTCTTTAAACACCACCAGGGAGTGCTGCTTCTCCTGATGACAGCATGAACGAGTGCTGATTGTCTCAAAGGAGCCGATGCCTAACACCCATTACTGCTGGGGAGACTGAACACATAGCCCTTGCCTCATCTGTGTTTGGACAAGCCACGACAGCAATTGGTGTGAGTGTGTGTGCTAATTAATCAGAGCTTGTGTGATTATATGAGGCAGAGAAGGAGGAGGATTCGGCCTGTGTGCTTTACATCACTGAGGGAGGAGTGATGCTCACAATTGCAGACACGACAGCATACATTTAAAGTGATTCATGTTTACTAGCAGTATGTTATTTATTCGGGTTTTTTTTGCCAATATGCTGCAGGTGTTTGGCACTACAGGGTACATGCAAAATCTGGTACTAATCACCAGAGGGAACCTGTCTGACTGCTTGTAGTGAATCATGAAAGCTGTGTTAGTCTGGTATTGTATTACAGTACCTGCTGGGTGTCCCCATCTGTGTAAGGCAGCTTTGTGGACACATGGAACATGACCTCTTTGTTACGGTAGTTGCAGTGGACAGATTCAGTGCCAGTTTGCCCATGAGTCACGTCTAACCCTCCACGGAAACTGCAAGCAAACAGAACCATGTCTAACAAGATATTCTCCGCCATCAATGCAGTACTATGACCATCATCAACCCTGTAGCTCGCCTTATGTGATGTAAATTGCGGTTGGCATCATTCTTTGGAATGTATGGTTGAGTATATATAGTGCCTTTAAACCAGAGTTAGATCCTTACCCTTTAAAGTTGTGCAGCTCAATTTTCTCTCCCAGAAACTCCAGGAATTCTACAAAGGCAGGACTCTCTTCACTGTTGCCAAACAGCTCTTCCTCTGAAGTCTGTAACCAGAAAAAAACCAAAAAACTCATAAACATCAAGGCTTGGAGGACAAAATGATTTCAGCAGCAGCACTGGGGATGATTTCTGTGTGTTACTGTGTGTATGCCAGAGATTTTTACAAGTCCAAGTCAAGTCTCAAGTCGTTGAGTCATTATGTCATCATTATGGTTGTAGATGTTCTATCATATGCTGCATGCCATCATTTCTGCTTGGAACACTGCATATCTGAGGAATTCAAAGCATGTGCTGTATCATCACTCCTCTTGGTATATGATCACTTTGAACAGGCTATTGTAATGTAAAATGATACAAAACACAATGAAAACTTTCCTTTAAATAAATAACTGTATTTTACCTCTAAAAAATGATATGTTACTCAGGGTAACATGAAAATACTGCAACGCCATGAGGCATACAATAGTAACCTATTGTATGTAATTATACAATAGGTTACAATAGTAACCTATTGTATAATTACACTTTGGCTCCAACTAATAACAGAAATGTACTGTAAATGAACCCATCACTCTAGCCTCTCAAACACAGACATGCTCACACGTAAAAGTCTCAAGTCACTGTGTGTGCAACTTAAGTGCGACTTGAGTCCAAGACCCAAGTCCATGTCCCCATCTCTGATGTCTGCCTTACAAATAAACAAGCAGTAAGGACAAAGTCTGGGAAGCATAATGACAACTGATCTCAAGAGGTGAGATTTGCACACTAAAGTGCCAGTGACACGATAAGCATTTTATGTGAGGTGTGTTTTTACTGCAACACATCATTAGGGTTAATAACTGGATGCAGGGAAGTGAAGTGTATCCAGCGTGTGTTTGGCACTATTGTTCAAATGCTGCATTTGTATTTCAGAACAATTAAAACTGGATGTATCACCGAAGGTTTATAGGGGGGCTTAAGAAAGCTTGTGCAATAATGATCATCTATGAAAGACATTTGATCATCTATTGACAGCAAGTGGAGCGTGATGTGAACAAGCCTGCCTCAACACAAACAAAGAAATGACACCTGGGAAGAAGTTGCTTATTGAGTATTTATGCTTCGTTAACCGTATGCAATATGCCTACTTAACCATCATGCCTTTCTCCACTCAGCAACCCTTCTGAATAGAAAAATGTCCGGCAGGATGAGAAGAGGACCCTCGCTGCCTTTGTGAGATGGCCCTTGGCTCATTTACAACGCATTTAACAATGTATTTGTCAACTACTGCAGGCTTTAAGGAATCACCAGGGCAGATCTCAACACACTGAGGTCTCCATTCAGAGGTACAAGTGCCCTCAGCAAAGCATTCAATAGCTCCTCTACCTCCCTCACAGTAAACAAGAGGGCTGTGATTGCCTCAGAAAATGAGAGTGAATGTTAAAGACAGCTACAGTTACTGTGCTGGACTCAAAGCCACAATTAAGACTGAGCTTCCTTGAAGAAATTGCAGTTCATGCTACATTCTCATTCTTCACGGGCTGAATATAAGGGATGCATGCACATCTAATGAGCCATATCGGACCAAACGATTAGTCTAAACTTTATAGCTCACCTGTCCATACTTTTGATAAATGACCCCAAACTTGAAATTGTTGTTTATCACATGTTCATCAAAGGTTACAATAAGTCTTGAAGCCTGTAAAAACAAAATACAGAAATATCAAGAAACATTAAAGCTTAGGTCCACAGTGTTTCCTTCGGGCACCTGACTATAGTTTTAAGACAGACTTGAAAAATTGCAGCCCTATCCTGTAAATCATCAGACGTGTGGGACTGAAACAGACATATCCAGCCGCTGCAACTATTCAAACCAAACCAGACCTTACTTTGGGATAAAGGACAGGAAAAAAGCGGTCCACATTGACCTCTTCACAGACGAGCTTGGATAAAAAAAAAAGAGAGAAGAAAAAAAGGTTAGAATGTGGTTTGATACAATCACAGTGGACTAATCTCTGCATAATAACAAACACATCTCTTTTTACCTTGGCCATTTGGACCACATTGGGAAACTCTGTCAGACAGGAAATGGGGATCACATCATGGTAGGTTTTCAGCTTGGTTCTGGTGAAGTCATAAAACAATCAGTTTGGTCTCTAAGCCATATAATATGATGCAACATTTCTCAGAAGCTATCAGATGGGAGAGGGATGATCCGGTATGGACCATCATCAAACTTCCCCACCCTCGCCTCTCTTTGCCTTTTCTCCCTCCCTCCCCACTCACCCACTTGCTGGCCTAAATAGTCCATCTGTTACTCCGCTGTAGAAATGACAGAGCTGTTGACACTCTCGCGAGCTTTATGACTCTTATGATAACACCCGTGCTGGCAGGATGTCTTTATCCCGTCATACTGGGCATTTAGTAGGAACAAAGAAAGTGTATCATTCTGAATACATTTCCTTTCGATCATGAAAATACAGACATTTTGTCTAAACCTCCACATTTGTTACTACAGATTCTGATTTAAATATCTTCATTTGTGAATTAGATAAGAGTAGCAACTTTTTACAAAGCTGGTATATCAAGTGCACCACTCTTTTTTGCATTGAAGCTGTTGAATATATTTGACATCAACATTCTTCAAACCTATACATTTGTCTTTAAAGTGAGATATAAGAACACAGATTTACTTTATAGTTTTAGATAACATTTTGTCGACAAGCTCTTCATTTGTATGAAACATCCTGTTGTCAGTTTTCTATCAAGACTTATCTTGTGATTCCTCTGTGTCATTGTCTATGTGCAAAAAGAGACTTTGATTTGGAAAAAAAAAGATCACGCTTCGAAACTGTTCATGCTGTAAATTTCTCCTTTCCTCCCAACTATTCTCTACTATATTTTATATGTGAAATGTTTGAACATTTACTGTGATTATGATGATATTTGTGTCTTTTGGATGTGGTTTTTATAGAAGCCATTAAAGGTTTCTACCATACTTTCTATTTCTCTGGGATTTGTTTTTACTGTTTTTATATGTGTGAAACAAATGAAAAATAAATAACTAAGCGATGGTGTACTCCACCATGTATGTGTAATGAGCATTACCTTAGCATTAGACGGAGATGTTCCTGGTCACCAATCACATCGTACTTTAGAGAGAACACCAGATGTCCAAGGGCACTGTCCACTGAATAGTAATTAAAGTGCTCCTGAGGGCACAGTACAAGGATACGGTCATTAGTATCTGTCAGGAACAGACACACACACACGAACACACGCATGACATTTGTACATGCGCTCCAGTCATTATCCAATCCTTCAAATATCGGTACCTTTACTAGTTCTGTTGCACTTCGGCTACAGGCAGATCAAATTTGTTCATATTATGCCTGTGCAACAACAGCTGGCGAAGCCTAATGCGTCTTCATTAGCAACAATGCATGAGGTGCCAAACGGTGAGGCTGGTGGCTGGTATATTCTATTGGGATATGCTTGTTGCTTATTCATTTCATTACTTTAATGAGCAAGAAGTTAAATTGATTGTGAAATTTTCTACGAGAGTAATGAGGCTCATTTGAGGAGAAAGGAAGCTGTTATAATGAGTCTGACATCAGTAATATCGCTTTTAGAACACACAGAAAGCTGAAGATTTGACTTTATTGCTCAATAAACACGACTGTTTGATGATCCTACCATTATGTTTTTATTGCATGATTGCCGAGATAGAAAGCGAACATGGGAAAACTACACATCTGAAAAATCGAATGCAAAGCAGAGATGAAGATGTACAAGCTAAGCTAAGAAGGAGACCTGGGAATATGCCTAACTGATCAGCAATGGGGGGAGAGTTACACAACAACACATACAGCTACTGCCTCCAGTTTCTGGAGAGAAAACACATGGCAAATACAGGTGTGCTGTTCTATCACACCAATCGAACAGGCTAAATAATTTAGCACTATCATCAAAATGTTGGGGAAGATGTGATGAGAACGATGCATCAATTTGTCATGTTTTATGGTTTTGCCCAATATCAAAGACTTCCTGAATTATGATGTAGAATTGTGAACAGTGAAAAACAACCATTTGTGCATGAACTTGTTTAAAAAAATGACCTCACTGAATGTGGTTCCCTATTCTCTTTATACTGTATATGTCTTTCCTGTGTTGTCTATTCTTTGTTTTAATCTTAACATTAGTGTTTTCATAAAAGGTAGTCTTTCAGCTTGCTTAGTATTGTTTTTTATGTTTTGATTTATTGTTTGCTTTTTCAAGATGACAATAAAAAGGAAAATAATGTGATCTCTCTCTATGTTGTGGCTAACCTTGCCCAGAAAGTGTTTCCGGAAGAGTGTCGCTGTTGTATTACATTCCAGCTTGGTGCGGGTGTTCGGGGACAGCGGCTGCGGCTGTTCCGTTTCCACTGTGTAACTCATCTCATGGTTCGTCCCTTCAATCCAGTAACCCCCAAACTGTGGCAGGAGGATGAGAGGAAAGGGGCTTTTTCTGCCCAACACCTGTCGCAAAGTGCAGAATAACAAGGGTTAAGAAACAGAACGCTGTAGACTTGAAAGTGATTTCAGGACACGAATGAAGCACTGATGGTGAAAAGTGCTATGGCAGCACATCATCATCCTACCTCATGGACACTTGGGTATGGAATGTAATCCTCCTCAGTCTGTAAAAAAAAACAACGGAGAAAAAAAGCTTTGTTTCCTCGTCAAAGAATAAAAATAACCACACTGTCCAACTCTATAATCCCAAAGGACACAGATTCAGAGTAATTGCATAACTGCTATGCAATGAAAATCAGTTTGGCAACAACATAGGAATCAATGCTTGATCAAAGTATTACTATTATTTGGCACATTGATGGTTTAAAAATATTGTTTTCTTGCTAGGAATTCACCATTTCAGTCTGCAGAGCATAGCATCAGAGGCTATATGATTCTGAATCCTAACTAATTCTGCTATTTTAAAAGGCTTCAGAGCATTTCCCCGCATTATGAATAATACTGTGCTGCTGTGTGCTGAAGTAATCAGCCTGTCTGGCAGAGCAAGATATGGCGGTCGTGAGACAATGGGCACGTCATGTGAATAACGCCGTGTCTCTACATGGAGAGTCGAACCTTGAGTGGGGGAGGAAAGGTGCATCGCTGCTCATCCATCCTGTTGCCCTGCAAGAGGAGAGGGTGAGATAAGGAAACCAGAGAGAGAAAGGGGTCACGCTCAGTCATCAACACAGCGGCCGCTTTCGCAAACAAAGTCAACACAATTATGTTAATTCGTACACTTGTTTTTGATTAGACATACAAAACAATTTACATAATAATCATGTCCTGAAAGACCACAAAACAAACCAACAGAGAATTATCATCCTCATTACATAATCACACAGTTTTCCCAAGAGATACATATGCAGCAGGCGACCAAGCAAAGTCAGAGAGGGACAGATGGAAAGATACAGAGAGAGATACATCACAGAGAGCGAAAGACAATTTAGGGATGCTAAAGAGCAGGCATTTGGGAGTGACTGAAACGTCTGTTAGCGCACAGAGGTAGTGTGGTAATAAGACTTCAGGGATTCAAAATATGCTGAGCTGTGAAATACACCTTCACTAGACCTGAGGTGTGTATGCGTGAAAGAGAGGTACCACGCAGAGAAAGCGATGGCGTGATACTAAATCAGGGCCAGGTGATGGCGAACTGGCGTCACAAGGACGGTCACATCGACATATTGTCTGACTGCGGAAAAAACACAGTCCTGCATCACTCCCATTGCTGAAGAGGAATATTTATTTTTAAAATATTCAGTTATACTAACAGACGATGCCAGATGCTGTGGCCACTGAAAGCTATTATGACTGTATTTAAATCAGCAATTTTGAAAAACAATCACCAACTTTTATGTGCGGGATCGCATGATTAGAATGAACATCAGAAACCAGGAGACAGTTTTTGAGGTGAGATAATAAGCTTACAGCGCTGTCAGCCAGTGTTACAATCAGAACGTTAACAGCTGAGAAACACATATAACGCTGTGACAAATCTCCTCTGAATCCACCGGACTCAACATCCCTCTCATGTACAGAATGCACAGAAGTATTGTAGCCGAAGAGAGGGCCAAAGTGCTGCAGAGTTAGAAAGAACTCACTGGTTAGTTGCTTGGTGAGTACAGCTCAGAAAGCTGAGACAAAACACGAAGATAGACGCGTCATCTTACCTGCATCTTTTCAATCATTTCAAATAAATCTGGGGTCTGGAGAGAGGAGAGTGAGATGAAACGTTTTGAGATCAGTTGTTGGGAGCTGAGCTTAATTGATTGAGTCTGATTGTTTGAGTTCGATCCTGTTCAGCACCAAATGCAATAAATATGGAATTATTTCATATGTTATATTTTACAAAGGTTATGCATGAATAATTATTTCTTCTGTATAAACACAAAGAAAAGTGCCATAGTGACGGTAACTGCTTAGGGTCAATTAAACATCAGAAAGGTCTCACTGCCTGTTAGACTTCATGAACAAGTTATATTACTCCAAAAACAGAAATCCAAATAGGGTTATCTGGGATTCTGGAGGGATAATGCTGCATAAAAAAGTATAGTCAACAACAATCACAGATATAAGGAACAGGGCAATCCTTTGTATTTAACCAAAAGTAACATGACATTTTCTGTAGTGGAAACATATAATCTATTCAAGTTCACGTTTATCTGCAATAACATGAAATTTGGAAAATGTGTGATATACTACGGCGATAAAACTGTGTTAACTTCCAGCACCCCAAACAAAATATTGTGGTAAATTGCTTAAACATTCTGTCAAATAACAAGTCAGTGCTGTATATTAGACGTTGGTAAAAAAGTTGGTAAAAAATGTTCCGTACGTTGTTCCCACGACTTGCAACAATGCCAACATTCTGACTTAAGTTTACTTAACTAATGACAACGTTAATTATTATTATCATTTTACCTGATTGCAGCATGTAATGTCTTGCCTCGCCCTTGTGGTTTGTCACACTATCACACTGCCATTTTCCACATGCCTAATTATTTAGATCCCAACTTCGGCTGTTGAGGTATTGTCCTTTAAAATTTCACAATCAAAACTTGCCCGCATCAGTTCAGCATGACGACTCTACTTACTGCAGAAAAATGGTGAGTTACAACTGTCCATGGAAACGTCGGTCTGAGGTACTCAAGTGAAGGCTGGAAGCTTTGGCCAGTAAAACCTGACATAGTCAAACTGTATGTGTACAGAGCAATCTCATCTTAGCTTTCAGTGTGAGTATGAGTAAAGTCCTCCACCATGTGCAAACAATAGGCTGCCACGAACCCTGAAAGTAAATAACCCCAGCTTCGACAACATTAACTAGAGATTAGAACAAGAGGAGCTGAGCTACATATTATGGTTGGACTCAAACAACATCTGCATTGGCCATAAAACCGTAAATCAGCCCCATACAGCCCCGAAAAGCACAGGTAAGTCTCATCAAATATTTGTGTAATGTCATCTGTTTGTTTCCACAAAAAAAAAAAAAAACTGTTAATAGAACTAGAAATGTTCCCCTACAAACAGTTGTCCTCAGCTCATCACTACAATAAACAAGCAACATGAACAGGGGGTTTAGCAGTTGTAACTTTAATCTCAATTTGGAGAGGCAGTTGTCCAAGCCTCTGCAGAAATTGCTGGCAAATGCCCTCTTTAATTTGCCATCTAGTGACGTTTTCCATCCAGTATGTTTCTAAAGTAAAGCTACTTACATGGCTGGGTTTCTTCCAGCGTGCCTTCGTCACCATTGGAGCATTGAAGTGGTTGTCACGACTTTTAGCCATTTCTAACTCTCTTAAAATCCGGCGTCCTGCAGCTTCAAAGGAGGATTCTCGGCTGACTTCAGGTTTGGATTAAACTTGCTCTCTGACTGCTGTGCTGTTGTCGAACTGTAGACAATTTGACAATGTCCCACTGTGACACCCAAAGTAAAGCTGCATCCCTGCTGAGTGCGACCACATGACTGACGAGTTGGCACAGACGAAGTTGAAGACAAGATCCACAGGCTCTCCCGGTGTGTGCTTTAAACATACAACATTATCAGCACGTATATGTCTCAGGTTGCATTCAAAGGCACCTGCTGCTGGTGCTTGAAGTTTAGAGCAGTAATCCTCTCACTGACCCTCGCGGTCTGATCTTTCTCTGTCACTCTGTAGCAGTGCAGGAAGAAATCTAAACCACCTATCATCCACCTCTTTATCACCAGCCATATCTTGACTTAGGCTGACAGGTGGAGTCCAACTTACTCTCACAGACATGCCCTTAAACAATCTCCTGTTCACAAGAGAACTATATGGGCAGTCCGGCTACACTATAGGCTCCCAAAAATATAGAATGGGTGCAAATGTTGAGAAATTAGGAGATCACAAGCTGGGAACAAAATGATGTGGGACATGTAAAGAGATGGATAGAGTAAATCTCATTTTAGCAGAAGAAAATGGAGATGACCAGAGTGGAGGAGGTGTGGGGATCCAGAGGGAGCCAGGCTAGCATTCAGTGCAGGTGTTCGTGCTTAGACCTTTCATCGTGAGAGATAATAGTCTCATCATTATGGCAAGACCATCTCTCTCCTCCAGGCTTTTCAGGTGCAACTCTGTGCGTCCTCACAGAGATAATTCTATCTTTGACCAGCTCCAAAAGGCTGAAGTGTATCATAAGACCATAATTGCAGATTGACCTGGTTTTCGCAGAGCTCTGATTAAAGTGATACGCTTCTTTGTGTCTTGCCCACCAAGCCCTTATTATACTACAGTACATCACATTACCATGCTGTCCCTCAAAATCTTCATCAAATACTGAATAGCAAATTAAAGATGGTTAAATAAAACAGGGTTTTGAAGATCAAATATTACCCTAACTGCTACAAACCAATTCCGCAGTTTCTCCTCCAGGGTGTGAAGAGAAATGGAGGCTATACTCTGAGCCAAGGTTGGAATACCTGTATCGGTGCTTTTATTGGTTGTATTTGGCTTCAATGTCAAGCAGTCTATAGACAGACCGAAGTTTCAAAAAAAACTCTCCTCATGTATGACTGATTGTAACTAGTGTGTGTGCAGTGCCTACAGATGGTGTGGGCTGCAGGGATCAGGAGTGACTGTTAAACACCCCAACCTCCAAATTCTCCTTTAATCCCCTTCTCTTCCCACTCCCGCTGCTCTACTCAGATCAAGCCAGATTGAAAGAAGTGTAAGCCCCATACAAAGCGTGAGAGACCTTATTAAACCAATCTGACGTGAGGGAGATTGTATCCACTTTTAATCACCACCAAGCTCAGCTTTGTTCAGTTTATAAGTTCCCAAAATAAAATATCACTTCAGTCGCTCATCATAGCAATAACACGTGCCAAAAGGTGGGCATGAAGATTCTGACAGCGTGATGGACATGATGTATACTGTGATGATCTAAATAGATTTATTGAAATGATCTCCTCACATTCTGCCCTTTATATTCTGCATCTACAATCTAAGTATTTGCTTATATGATTTCCCCTGAAAGGAAGAACAATAGATCAAGCCAAGCAGATTTATAAATGGTAAAATAAATATTTCAGTGAACTGGAGAAAAACTGAATGAGACCCTCTTGCAGTGAATCTCACAAATGGCAGAAAATGTATTTCTGGCAAAAAAAATGGGCTTAAAAGGAGAGAAATTGGCAAAACTGGCTCGTTGCTTAGACACAACTAGATAACAATTGAACCCCACACAAAGACTGATTAAACATGAATGACTTTCCAATCCAGTGATGCATCCTACGTGATGGTGGGGGCGACCGATTCTTTTGATTTAAAAATGACAATCGCTCAGACAAGCCGTACTTTGTTTGCTTTGATGGCATCAGACTTGTTAGGCTTGGGTTGAGAAGTTGTTGTCATCAAGCTGACAAAATTTCCTGATAAAAATAGATCTGTATTAATTGAAACAGGCGAAGATAATCATCCCAGACACGAAGCTCCGTGCACTCTAATTACATAAGTTAAACAAAGGAAGACAAGAATAAAAAATCCAAGTAACACCGCAAGCAGAAAGTCAGAGTCTGATACAGTCATGACAGATTAAATCCAGACAGAACACCAAGCAAGTGTATCCAGACAGAAGCAGGTGTAGAGACAAAATGAGCAGAGACCCCTAGCAGAGATCACACAGAGGTCCATCAGATAAGGTCAGGGGTCGTTCCCCTCCTACCTTGTGGAATGGCGAGGTGGCGTACGGGACTGTAGGCTGGAACAGCTGGGGCTCTAGTGTTCCAGACATTCGCGGGTCACTCCCATCTTGTTTCCTACAATCGGACAGATGAAAGAGAACATTCAGTCAGAAATGGTCGACCCAGTTTGAGATCAAGCAAAAGGACAGAAAAAGGGCAATGCCCGGGAAATGTTGCTGGTCTCATTTAGCAACAGAATGCATTTGTATGTACTGGTGGTCTGAGGCATTGCAATGGCCTTAAGCCCAGAGATGGAAGGTTTCTTGTTATGAAAATCAGGATTTTTTAAATTAAATTATCTTATCTATCTATTATGTTATTGATCCGTTCTTTCTTGTTATCAATGTCTCTAGAAAGTGAAGCAATTAAGTGTTACCATTTTTTAAAGAAAATTTATTATTTTTAAGACACAAAAAACAGTAGCTTTTCTCACTGGCAATTATCTGTTTTGTCTTATATGCATAGAGGGTTAAACCTGATGGCCAGATGCTTTCCTCTCCCCTAAATGCATTCATTTTAAGTTTAAAATATCTAAAAAATAAAATAAAAAAACCCCATAACTGTCAAGGAGACTACGAGTTTGTCTGAAACACAAAAAGGCAATATACAATTTCTTCTCTATTTAAAAAAGAAAAGAAAACTTTGTCGCAAAAAATATCAAATCCTATTCCTCTGAGGAGGTTCTTCATTTCTTTTAGAGAATACGCTGCTATTCACAAAACATCAGGGATTGAGGTTACACACAACCCATAGCTTCCCATTTATTCAAACTCTCTGGAGTAAGACATGGCCAATGCAAAACCCAACAATACTGTCATGCATCCTTTGCACTAAACTCAATATCTCTACCAGGGCGATTTATCCCCACAGGACCACTGGTCGATACACCCACTTAACATGGTTCCCTATTGACAACTGGCCATTTTGCAGAACAGGCTTTCAATTTGTTTGATAAATTCAATCTATTTCATACACACAAAGTGATTGATCGTAATGAAAGCAGATCTGAAATCCTCCTGAAGCAGTGACAATGCAAAGTGAAATCTGTACATTGCTGTCTGTGATGATCAAAGAGGGCTACAGCAGCCACAATGGAATATGTATCATATCTCTTTCTCTGCAAGGAGATGTGTTCTCCACCAACCGAAAGGCACCAAGCAGAGAAATACCATGAAAAAACACAATGACACAAAATCCTCTTGTACTTTTTCAAGAAGGGAGTGTGGCTGTCTGTAACATTGATTATATGAGTGGATGTATGACGCTGTGTTGCTCTGGTGCTGAGGATGTGGAGAAGACAAACAGATGCTCAAGTGGAACAGTGACCGAGATGAGAATCTCTTCACAGAGTCTACTCGGAATCACATATAGGTGAAGAAAAGACAGCGTGAATCTGCCTGCTATTACGCAACGAGTGAATGTTCAATCAAGGAAAGTCCTGCATCACCCAAATAAAAACGGGAACATATGAACCTTCTCTCAGCAGGCTCAATAAACATGAACGAGGTGATGAGCCTCAGCAGCAGCAGCTCTCCCACGGGAAAACAGGATACAACGGGGCATCAGCTGCCCTGAACTCTTAATTAGAACTGATGCATAATATATGGATTCAGGATACACACACACATATGTAACAGAAAAGGCTTTCATTTCTAACAGTTGGTTTCAGGATAGATATTGTATTATATCACAAAGAGGTAAGACTTGTTTGCATGCATCTAGTCTAAAGTCGTAGTGCGTACATGACAACTATAGCCACACATACTATATATTCCACTCTGGCAGCATCAAAACGCACATCAAAGTAAAAGAGGCAGAAGAAACGTCCTGCTCAGTCCATTACAAACTCGTCCTCCATCACAAGCATGCTGTACCAGGACACATCACACACCGCTGTTCACACACACCTGCCTGTTCTACTTGGCATTACCACGTAAGCCCTCCTGCAGATCAGTTTGCATCACTAAGCCACGGCTTCATCCCAACACCACAACAAATTACATAATACACCCCAGCTGGTTAGCGATGCACCACGGAAATCAGCAGCAGTGGAG